TATCGGTACTATCTTCTTGCTTCTTAATAGCATTTAGCATTTGTACTTGAAGTTGTAGAAGATGGGCAAGTGTGCATTCTTGCTGAATATGATGTTCTGCTAGTGTCATTAAATTATTCTTTCTTGGAGAATTAAATCATTTAGAAAAAGAAAATATCAGGTCTAATAGGTTACAGTCATTCTTATTAGTTTACCTTGAATTAATTACCCCTAATTATGTACCTGTGTGATATATCTTCTGATGGATAGATCACTTTCAATATATGTTCTCCTTTTGTATCCATGCTAAGACTTGCACTTCAAAGCTGTTGTCCAAGTCCTTGTTTTGGAATAATGGTTTGTGAACCCATTTAATATATATTTGTGAGATCTCAGGAATATAGATTTTAGAATTTTTTTTCGTCTCAGTTAACTTTTACATCTTGACAATGTAATCCATAATTACACAGAATGTTGATGTGTGATAGAAAATTATTCAGATACAAATGAAGGAATGGATTTTATTAAGAACAGTCATGGACTTTTGTGATGTCCAAGTCTCCCCCAATTGCTTTACAAATTTCCACACAATGAATGACTCCCCTATCAACCCTTTTTCCTATTTATGTACATCATTCATAACCCACTAACTAACTAAGGCCCGTAACTAATAGATCTATCAGAGTGACATAGAATAGTGTGTTGAAGGTATTTTGTGTTGGTAAGTTGTTATTAATGCTAATTTATACTTTTGTGTATAACAATTCGAAGTCTCATTTTATTATTGAAATATACTTCTCTTTTTCTTATTTCATCTAATCTGTAAAATTTAAACAGTAATTAATTTTATTTCTTTAAAGTATGTTTTTTGTTACCGTTAAATTGGATATTTGTAGAAGAGTGACTGAGCTGATGGCTTTCTTTTTATTTAGCAGTTTTTTTCCTCCCTTTCTGTTTTAACAATGTTTTCTACTGGTTAAATATATTTGCAGGAATGTACCAGATCCGGGAGGCCAACCAATTGGTGGAGGAGTTTATGCTTGCTGCTAACGTTTCTGTTGCACAACAAATTCTTAAAAGTTTTCCATTCTGCTCATTATTAAGGTTATTTTTACTTTTTACTTTTAACTTTAGTTTCGGTACGGTGTTTTTCTTGGGAGGGGCATCCTTTATACGTCTGCTAATGGGTTTACTATATATATAAATACTAAACTGCTCTCTTTATCGTATTATTTTATGTGCTTTTTTATCCTGCTTCTTTTGTTTGTTTTCCATGTCAATTACTGAAATTCAATTTTTGGATTGAAGATTACAAATAAAATTCAATATGTATTTAGATAGTTTTGATTGCATGGGCACAGGCTAGTGCAAAAAATTCTTCTAAAAGAGATTTTGTGGTTATAGTGGATAGAGCAGAATGAAGCTCATCCAGAAAAATTGATGTAGCACATTTGCACCTAAGAGAGTCAAGGCTACTCCAGAAATTACCTATATTGGCTAGATGTTCAGTCTTGGGCATGGTTGTATTAATATATCCTATATTGCTTAGAGATTTGGCCAACTTTCTCCTCCTAAAAGTTAGTTAATCCTCTCCCTATTAGTTACTTTTTGGGGTTGAATCGGTCTTGATGCATTTCTAATAATGTTCAGTCATGGTATTGGGCTGCCTTCACATGTCTCCATGCTTTAGATACTTAGTTGTCAGATTGAATGGTGTGTTGATACTCCTCGGATTTAGGAAAACGTACCTCTTTGATCTAACATTTGGGGTTGAGTGCTCATGCATTTCAAATACCCAAACATACAATTAGAAGTGTTGAACTGAATACTTCCACATGATGAAAAGTTTTAAAGCAACAACATGTGGCAAGGTGGTCTAATTGCTATTATGGTTATTGTTTGTTGGTTCCTGTATAGGCGGCATCCAACACCAACCAGAGAGATGCTTGAACCCTTATTACAGACTGCTGCTGCAGTTGGCTTGCACTTGGATGTTTCGTCATCAAAAGCATTGGCTGATTCTCTTGACCATGCTGTGGTAAATATTTTGTCTTGCATTTTTTATTAATTATATGCATCATTCTTGTTTTTTAATCATTTTCCATCAAACAATTATATATGTTTCATGCATGATTATTAGCTATTATGGTACTATGATTTTGGCTGCGGCACTCCTCTCGTAAATATTTTTTTCAGGGCGATGATCCTTACTTCAATAAGTTAATCCGTATATTGGCAACTAGGTGCATGAGTCAGGTAAGTTTGAGTTTGAATGAGAATCCAGGTTTAAAATTTACAAAATAAAATTGAGTTCTTGATATTTTTGTAGGCAGTTTATTTCTGCAGTGCGGATCTTAGCCCTCCAGAATATCATCATTATGGGCTTGCAGCTCCTTTGTATACCCATTTCACATCACCTATAAGAAGATATGCAGGTAGTTTTGCTATAATTTTAATAAAAAATTTACTTAATCAATTGTGCGCAATAATGTGAGATGAAACATTTTTCCCTGTAGATGTCATTGTGCACAGGTTACTTGCTGCTTCTTTAGGAATATCAAAGTTACCGTCTGTATTTCAAGACAGACTCCAGCTCACTAATATTGCAGACAGTATGAAATCTCCTTCATGATTTAATAGAATTTGATCATTTATATATATATATATATATATATATATATATATATATATATATATATATAATTTTTTTTTTCAGTTGTGTCTATTGCCTTGAATGAAGTTTTCTCTATGTTAACTATATTCATTAGGGATCAAATAATAGTTTTTCTCTTCATGATTTTTATTCTTTTGGTGTGGCATATATGGTTCAGATTTAAATTACCGGCACAGGAATGCCCAGTATGCAGGGCGAGCATCTGTAGAGCTACATACTCTAATTTATTTCAGGAAGAGGTATGCAACATAACTTCCGCTTCCTGTTGCTGTTGCTGTTATTTTTATCTATACACTTTGCAGCCTATTGTAACATATTTATCTTTGTTTATGCAGGCCTACAGACACGGAGGCTAGAATAGTGAAAATAAGATCTAATGGATTTTTTGTGTTCGTTCCCAAGTAAAGTTTCTTATTCTTGCTTTGTTAATTTCCTTTTTATTTTCTTTCTTGATATAACATTTCTGAAGTTGAATAAGGATAACAAAAAAGTGGAAAGAATGTTTTGATTTAATCTGAGCAGGAGTTAGTTATGTCAATATAGTTAATTGAAGAAGCTATATCTTATCTCTACTTTCAGTGAGTTTTGTCATTTATAGCTTGCGTGACCTTTTTCCCCCTCACAGATATGGCATAGAAGGACCTATATATTTGACAAAAGCCGAAAAGGGAAGTGAAAAGAGAAGTGGAGAATGGTATGTAGATGAGCAACAGCAGAAGATAAAAAAGATGGATGGTAGCCTTTCATACAGCGTTTTGCAGACAGTCCAAATTCACATGGAGGTTGTGGAGCCTCAGCCTAACCGGCCAAAACTTCAGCTTACTCTCATCTAGAGGTATATGAGCACTGAACACAGGCATGACTCATATAACCCCTATTTAACATAGCCATTTGCACCTCAACACTTTTAAGGAAGGAATTGATGGGCATGAAAAAGTTGTGGAAGGAGCCAGACGTAGATGAGAGATTTTGGTTGGAGAAATTTTTGCTAGATTGGAAAGTGGAATTTTTATACATGATGCTATAAGCAAGTATGAACACTTGAAAAAAAAAACACATGTCATAGCTTAAATGCATCATATTGTATTTGTAGAGAATATCAGAATTATTACATTACAAAATATGAAATCATTCAGGAGACTCCTAAGTTTAGTTCTTGCAGAGAATTTGTCCAGTTTATTTTTTTTTTCTTATCAGCTACATATTACCCCTTTTGCTTGCTATATTATCATCGATTGCATCCGGAAGACGTAGTTGTTTGAGGCATACTGCTTTTATGAATAACTAAATTATATTTTTATTTTTTAGAAATATTTGTGGAGAATTTTCAAAATAGATCCCTATCCTTTATTTAATGGTTCTGATTAATCAATTAATCAAACGTCATTCACTTTGGACATGTTAAACTTATAAAGTTTTGAAAATAACTTGAAAGTGATTCTTTTAATCATAGATTTAAAAAAAGAAGTCATAAACAACTTTTTTACTGAATAAGTTTAGTTACTTAGCCTGATAAGGATTAGCTAGGGACAAAATTAAATAAGAAATATGAGATTTATTTTCCCTATGTAGTATTAGTTGCTATTTAAAATTACTGATGGTTTAATTTTTTTACCCAAAACTATAAATGTCTTTACGCATTTTCAAGTGTCATAGTTTTTTCATATACTTTGATTAAAAGTGATCGGATTTGATCATGGAGTATTTTAAATTAAATACTGTGAACATATTTTTCAAGTGCTTTTCATATACTTTGATGAAAAGTACTTCAATAAATGATAACATGGAGTATTTTAAATTAAATACATTTTATACCTGCTAAATATTCTTTAAACTAGAAAAATTGAGCTGCATAAGCAGAAGTTAAAAAAAAAATTCCTTAAATATCATCCAAGTTTTATGCGTGTTTTTAGACTATATGTTAGCCATTTGAAATTCTAGTTTTTTTTTATACCAAAATGGTACGTTTATTTTTAAAATTATCATTATTTTCTTGTTTATGGTTCAAATATTTTTAAACACTTGTAATTTATCTATTTGTTAAACACTTATAATAATGTATTTTTGTATTGATCATTGAGTTGTTTTTTTAAATGAGCTTAAATCTCATAATAAAGATATTTTCACATTATATTATTTATAAAGACTCTTTTTATACACTCATTTATAATTAGTTGTTCTTAGATCAAACACTTGTTGACAGTGAGGACCTGTTTAACAGGTACAATGATATAGTAAAGTCCATTTGGCGAAGGAGGAAACTGCAATTAATTTTCATTCTTAACAACACAGAAGCTGAATATGTAATGTGTGAATGGGTATAATACAAAATGAGAAAATATGTTCTTTATGAAGAGAACAATCTGGTAAAGAAGTTCCCTGCTTTGGACTTCTCTAAGCATGCTACATGAGCATATCTTCCAAAGTTGTCCACTTGCCTTTCCTCCCCTCTGGTGTCCTTTTTGCATACCTTGCATGTTTTGTCAACCCACCCCTCTTCAACATATGCCCCGTCCACTGCTCAATGAACAAGTATTTCAGCACTACTGTTAATTAAGACAGATTCAACCAGCCATAAGGGAAATTTAAGACTTTGGATATTATCCTAATAGCATCCATCAGAAAATAAGCAATGCTAATTGGTGATAGGATTGAGTATCCAATGCATTTGAGTCAGGTAAACAGTAATTGGAACATGAATTATGATAAGAAGGACAGAGAAAAAAAGAACATTAGTAAAGACTTTCATTAGCCAAAAAAAGAAAATTACCTTCTACGTAAGATTTGAAAAAATCCTTGTATGTACCACCAATTTTCCTTCTAAGAGCTCCATACTGAGTTAAACAACAAAAGAGAAATAGTATTTAGAGGGATCATAAAAAGAATAAAGAGTTGGAGGAGAGTAGAAGATACCTGTTCCCTGCTCATCCTTTTTCCGGATCTTGTGGCTTCTCTGGCCTCTTCTATAAGCTGAGCATCCTCTGCGGATCTCACTTGAGAAAAATCAAGAGCCTCGGTCACACTGCTAAATAAGGATTGTTTTTGCTTATTCTCTTCTTGCTTCTCTTGTTTGGCTGAAACCCTGAACTTTATGCTTCTATTGACTCTGCTGCAATTAGTAGTGTCATGCATGAGTCCTGACTTTGGAGAAAAACTGCTATAAGAAGGGGTCAATGGCAGAGTCCCAAGTCCCATTTTAGCTTCTCTTGGTGTACTCAGCACCACCCTCACTCTCAGCTATGCTGCTTGTGTTCTTACATATATGCCTACAAGTGTGTTTTTCCCAAGTTTGGTGCCACCAAATTGTAGCCACACAAAGTTGTCAATTTGTCCAAAGCACTGTTGCCAATCACAAAACCTGGTGGTTCATAGTGGACTATGTGGCACCTTAGGAAACTCACAAAACGAGAGGATCTCTCTTATCTTCCTCTTTAAATTCGTGTTCATCATTATTAACTAAAATATTTTGGAATAAAATACCAAACATTTAATTTATGAATTTATTATACCATTATACACCTTCACAAAATCTAATTTGGAAAATTTTAATGTGGGTGTATCATTTGGGCCACAAAGAATAATGGAATTTCACATTTTTTATCATGGAGAGATTATTAGATATTCCAAACTTAGACCTATTGAGTGATACATAGTCAATATTTTTTTTTAAATTTATGAAAAAAAGCTAATAATATTCAATTATATATTATATGAAGACTAATTACATTCTATAGATGCAAATGCTGTTGTTAATGGTTTTTTTCTTATTTATTCCCACGCTAATCCGTTTGTTCACCTCTATGTCTTTCCACGAAGAAGAAATTTTTTTTTCAAACAATCCTTACCCATTTTTAATTTTGTTATTTTATATCCTCACTTCACATCATCGTAATCATCCTAATTTCACGGAAATAATGTTTTTTTTAATAAAAATTAAAAATAAATATATGTCGATAAAACTAAAAATTTATTTCTGATAATAAAAAAATTCAGCACAACAACTAAACTTTTAAGTTTGAAGTTAATTTATAAGCTTTTAAGATTAGTTAAAAACATTATGAATTAAATTATAAAGTTTAGGCTAATTAATCAGCACTTTTTCAAATACAACTTATTAAAGTGATAATAATGAATTTTTCTTTTAATCACTGCGTTAAGATTTATACAAAATTTAAATAGTATCTAAGATTTGGAAAATAACGAAGCTTAGTACATTTCAGTTCAACTTGGATCAAGATAAATGTAAATTATAATCTACATCTAAGTCCAACAGATAGTTTCAAAAACTTTTATTTTATTTGTGATTCTAAAAGCATACACTTATTTAAAGGTTCATTTTTTATTTATTTTTACTTTTATATATATATATATATATATATATATATATATATATATATAAAATCAAATCAATTAGTGGTAAGAAAAAGCCTAACTAAGAGTAAGTTAGTTAATTAAATTAAAAGTGTTTAAAGAAATAAAATAATGAATTAACTCATTAATAAACATATTTTGGTTGTAAATTTGTGTATTTTAAAATTTATCATTTTACTATTTTAATTTATTTTTGCTGTCGTCCTTTACATATTTTTTTAATAATTTATTATATTAAAAGTTAGAAAATATTTTTAAAATTTATATCATAAAAGAATGGTAAACATTTTTTTTTACTTTATTTTATTGTTAGTATAAGGATATCCACGGTATAACTTTATTTGATTCATAGGGGAAAGGACGAGGCACAAATAATCGCACAGGCATCCTTGTCCCCTCTTCTTTATTGACTTTGATTACCAACGACCGAGACTTATTGTCCTCTTGTGGTGAATCGACCGTTGGGGAGAGCTTGATTATGAGTGACTTTCTTTCCATCCTTCTGATTTGGAAGACGTATCAGTTAATCCTTTCTTTTTATTATCTTATTTATTAAAAGTGAAGGAGGAGTAATCGAATATGCAAATGAAATGAAATACATGCAAGTAGACAATTATTGAATAAAAAGAAATTTTATTTATTTACAGAAAATGTACATTCTCCTACACCATGCTACGAAGCAATTTTTGACAGAAACGGAAAAGCCTAAAGAAACCCACGGGCGGGTTCTGATTTATGTGTAATTCCTCTTCGGCTTCCCGGACATGACGAGCGAGTGCTTCAGTTTGCTTGTGGAACGCCTCGCTCATATCTTCGCTATACTTCTGAGCCTCTTTGATCTTCGCCTCTTAATGGACGACCAAGGCTTGTAACTCGTCGAGTTTCTCAAGGGCTTGGTCTCTCTCTCGTAGCACTTGACCATACTGAGCTAATCCGTCTCTTTCTTTGCAGCGCAGCTCAGTAAGACTTCTGTTAAGTCTCTGGGTAGTTTCCCATCCTTGACGTATTTCAGATCGAGTCCTTACGAGGTCTTGCAGCAACCCCTTGATCGTCTGAGCCTGTTTTGCACATTCGGTCTCAAGCTGTGCTGACTTGGCGATTATTTCTTGAAGTTGGTTATCCGAGCTGATTCTGACAGACTTGGATGCTCGGATAGCCTGCTCACTGGAATTAGTACATTGGTCCTTGAGACGCTCTATCTCATGATCTTTCTTCTTGCATTGCCTTTGTAGACCGTCAATAGTGATGATAGATTCTTGCTCTTTTTCCTCAAGGGCCCTCATCTGGGCTCCCATTATTTCTATCCTCTGGGTCAAGGCGTCGACTTGACTTTGGAGCTCTCTACTGGTTGAAGGCGCAGCAGGTGGGGCGGATGGTCGTGACATCCCTCTGTTTCTCCTCCACTCCTCATAGTTACTAGAGACAGCTACTCGAGCTTTGCCTAGCTCTCTATCTCCCATGAAGACTGGTTTCTCCCATGCTCTTCGTACAACAAGTGAGTTAGCAACAATGCATGGGTCTCCGAAGAAACATAGTCCTCCGAGCTCTTCTTGTGATAGTGCGGTTTGGGTCCTCATGAGTTGTCTCATAGCCACTTTTGGAGAATATAGGCTATGCAACCTCTGAGGCCTATTAACGGTACGCTTGGATAATCCCCACATCTGATGAGGATCGGGCCAGGTCAGAACCAAGGACATGCCCAAGATAAACGGTTAGTGTCCCATTGTTCCAACTCGACCTTCCACTCCATGGTTAGGCGTCGGTGGAGAGAGATTCTAGAGAAGTTTTTCAAAGGATCGGGGAACATCCCCATGTGACTGGAGGCGTAGAAATGTGTGATACCCCACACGAAGAGCAGTGAAGAGCAGCATCTGAGTGTTCTCCCTTGCTTCTGGTGACAAAATTTCACCGAAAGTAAGGTGTCGGCAAGAAGTGCAGGCAATGGACTTTTGAGTTCACGTCCCAGGCGAAGAAAGTGTCCATGACGGCTTGATCCACTGTGTCGAGGTGGAAGGGAAACAACATAGTCCCAAACACGATCAAAGCCAGGGTTTTGTTAAAAGCAGACCAGTCTGCTCTTTCAGCCAAAGAGGACAGATGTTCTTCTAACATTGAAACTTTCCAACCCTGGACATTCCCTTTTGCTATCAGGGTAGTCTGCCGAGATGGCAATCGGATGATGGCAGCGACTTGGGCTGCAGGAGTATATGCCTCATGGCGAATATGGACCCCGGATGACTTGGACCATTTTAGCATAATTTCATACTCCTCTAAAGTGGGCACCATATCGAACTGCGGAAATTCGAAGCAGTGCAAACTAGAGTTCCAAAAATGGACTAGAATCCTGACGAAAATAGGGTCGACATAGATCTTCAGTAGGTCGAGAATTCGTCCGTAGGATTTTTCAAAGTTGGAGCGGACTTCTGGTGGCATTAACGTGCAGATTCGTTCTAATTTTTCCGCATGGTATCGGGGAATATCCACTTTCTTCAACTGTCTACTAGCCCCCTCCATTTTCTAGAAACAAAAAATGCATGCTATGAATATGATGCTTAATGCAGGCATGCATGTCAGTGTTTATTTTTCTAAACATTATCATGTTTTATTTTCTACATGATGCATGAATTTTGTTTTGTTTTTTGTATTTTTTTCAAAAGGAAGATAAACTACCTATATAGATGTTTATGAATTTAATGTTTTATGAACAAGATCCCATTTTTGTTTTATTGGGCTTATTTGATTTATTCGATTTTTATTTGATTTTTTATTTGGTTTATTTTATAACCTTTTATCTCTTTTGTCGGACTGCGTGACTACTTAGCTTACAAAGAACTTGAAACCAGGTTAGCTAAAAGACAGACTGTCTGAGATAAAATGGTTTATTGTGAAAGAATAATTTTAATGTCCCTTATCTTTTCTGTCGGACTACGTGACTACTTAGCTTACAAAGAACCTGAAATCAGGCTAGCTAAAAGGCAGACTGTCCAAGATTAGGGTGTTTATTGCGAAAATATTTTTTGAGGTTTTTCTATTTTTTGTTTGTTGTATGGTTTTGCTATGCAATCAAATGCAACAAACAAATGCACGCACAATTCACTCATCCGCGAACAAGTAGGACGACGTTTTTAATTTTGAGGTAGGGGTTTCCTGCAGAAGAGTGCATATTCAGGGTAGTTCTAATTTTCCTCCCCAAGGCCAGGCCCCTAAGGTGCCCCCATTATAGGGTCTCCACTCTTCAGCCTTCCGATCATGCATGATACTAAGGCCGTAGTCAGTTTTTGTGCCAAAAGAGGAAGGTTATCACCTTGAGTGGTAGTTTCCGACCATACTGGTGGGCTCATGACCCTCACTACGGCAAATCGTACTTGCCACTCACTCCCTATGGATTTCCCACTTGCCCCCAGGTATAGGGGGAACTGTTGTGTGCAAGGGTTTGTGTACAGTTTGTATTTCAAACAATTGCATAAAATAAACAAACAACAATTATTAAAGTCAAGCAAATAAAACATGTTATAAAACAAGGCAGGGTAAAAGTAAAATTTTTAAGTTTTTTATTTATTAAACTGGCCCATCACTAAATGGGATCAACTCTCTAGGCTTCCCCAATGGAGTCGCCATCTGTCGCCGCCGTCAAAAGAGGCGGTCGGAGCGACGCGATGATTTTGTTTGACTCGCATTTTTAAAAGTGTGGTTCAACGCCTTTAGGTTGTCCGATAACCGGGCTGGACCTAAGGGCGAAGTTTTCAAAAAGGGTTCTATGGAGTCGTCACCGATGTTTTTACCCAAAACATCGGAAAAGGAAAAAAAGAAGGCATTGGTTTAGAAAAATCAACTTTGGCCATTACAACCAGAGTCGGGTAAGGGAAATTAGTTACATGTGGGGAAGATAATAACACCCCCACGACGCCCCTTTCGGGTTCCCTATGATGGACTATTCTTAAAATAAAAACAATAAAATTATGCTTTTACCCTATTTATTTATTACAGAATTTAAGTAGTTATCTACATGATTCTAATATCTAATGCATACAAGAGAAACAGTAAAAGAAAGCAATAAAAGAGAAGAGATATGAAGGAGAACCTCTGAAGCGAGCTTTCATAAATGTTGAACTTGATGACGCTTTTTGGCAGTCTCTGCACTCTACAGAGACATTCCTCCCTCGATCAAAAAATAAAGGTGTCACCCTACCGAGGGCCGGATATCTCAAAAAAAGGAGACATCTTTAACCGATTTCTACCTTAACGGAAATCGAAAAGCTCACTCGAACTCTGGAAAAATGCTCAAAGTCACTCTAAAGTGCCAAAAGACTTCCTAGATAGTGGTAGGAGTGAATGGTGCGTGAAAATGGGTGGAATGAGGTTCCTATTTATAGGAAAAAGTGCTAGGCAGGCCGGGATGACCATCTGGGATTCGCTATTCGGGAAGGCCTTCTCGCCATTCGGGAAGGTCATCTCGTCATTCGGGAAGGCCATCTCGCCATTCGGGAAGGTCATCTCACCATTCGAGAAGGCATTCTCGTCATTCGGGATGACCTTCTCATCATTTGAGAACGCCTTCTAGGCAGAATGTTTTTATTATTATTTTTTTTATTTTTTATTTTTATTTTTGAGGTCGGACAAAATTTGGGGTCTACAACCTCTATGTCATTCCACGCGTAAATAGAGAAGAAGAAAAAATTAAAAGTTCATAGCCATTTATAGTGTCTTTTAATCCTTCACTTTCTAAAATTATAGTACAGTATCATAAAGAACTGGTAACATATATCCATTTAAACCTTCTTTTTCTGCATTCAATCCTTCTATATAAATTTCCCTAAAAAAAAAAAAGAAAGAAAGAATGAAAGCATTTTATATATATAAATTACGTTAAATTTTAGGGGAATGTTACTCCCAGTCTCATTCACAAAATCCTTGGGAAACTGCACACTGCTTTGGCATTGAAGTCTATGTCTCTATAAGAAAAACACAACCAAAAAAAGAAAGACTAATTACAAGTTAGATATTTCTACACAATGTAAACCATGCCAACTTCCAAAAGAGAAACTGGGGGAACCTTAAGTGCCACATCAGGGCCTCTACAATTCCTTCTCAAGAAATTGTAACCGTAGTTAAGTGCCAATTTCTTAAGGACAGATGAGCCTTGCTTTGCTCTTACATGAGAATGTCCAAGAATGAAGGCAATCCCAGCTTCTTGAGCAGCATAAAGATCTTCCAGTTCTTCCTGCATTTGCACTCCTACCTCAGACCTTGCATCACTCTCAGGCTCATAGTCAATAGCAAACCTCACTCTCCTCTGACTCACTGTTGGTTCCATCTCAATAACATCAGTCACACTTTGAACTGTTGGGAACCCAACAGATACACTAGCTTGTTGCACACTCTCCCCTCCACTCTCATATCCTGGTTGGGTGGAGAAACCAGTTGTTCCAATTACAGTTAGTCTGTGACTTGATGATTCATTTGAGTTTGAGACATCATCGTCAATGCTCATGCTACTCCTCCTACTCCGGTACCAATCATATTGGATGAAATCAGCAAGCCTTGCTACTAGTTCAGACTCAAAGGAATCAACATCTTGATGAACATCGCGGTATCCATACCTGACTATACACCTGTAGGACCGATGAGCAGGAGGTCCTACACGGCCAACAAGATATCTCTCAGCAGCAGGAACATGAGGGACAGGCACTGCTTTCACACACACAAAAACAAGGATGCGGTGATATGCAGGGAGGTTGGTGACAAAGCGGGAGAAGTTTGCTGGGATGCCAGCAGTGAGGTCAGTGAAAACTAGTCCTATTCCTGGAACTCTAGCAATTCCCAAGCTAGGACCTAAGGCTAGAAGCCAATCTAATGATACCTTGTTGTGAAGGTCATATTCATATTTTCTGATGGTTGCATAGTGCCAAAGGAACATTATAATCATGAGGAAGAGGGCCAGAAGGATAGGTAACCAGGCACCCTCACAAAACTTTGTCAGTGAAGCTGAGAAATACAGCAGTTCAATAGAGCCAAAAAACAACAGGAAACAAAGTGCCACTATGGGGGGTTTATGCCAACAAACTACGATGACCAACGAAGTAAGGCATGTCGTTACCAGCATCACAGTCATAACTGCTAATCCTGCATCAAATAAAGATTGATGTATATGTCATTCTAATCAACATAATATACCTAATATTCTAAAATTAAGTAAATGTTAAGAGTCAACAATATGTAGGGTAATCCCAAAGGATCTAGCGTAAAAATTATGATAATGCAAAGAAAATTTCAATCTTTGAAAAGAAAAGGCAAAAAATGATTCAACCAGTGATGCTTTAATGTAATAGTTACCTGAAGCATTTCCCATGTGTTTTGTGTCCCTAAATCCAATGGTCACAGCAATGCAGAGGATCATGAGTAGCCAATTAATTTCAGGAATGTAGACCTGGCCATGTATCTTGTCAGATGTATGAACGACCTTGACTCTTGGGAAGCAACCTAGAGATTGGCTCTGGTTTATGATTGAAAATGTTCCGCTGATGATTGCTTGGCTTCCCACAACTGAAGCTAGAATAGCTAAGATAAGCACTGGCCACCTCACACTTTCTGCAGCCAAAAAATTGTATAATGTTTTGTTTTCTATAATATGCTCATATACACGGAAAGAAAATTCATATACATACTTGCAGGAAACTAACAAAGGCATTATAGATAAGTTCATACACACAGCCACATTGCCAGGAGTTTTTTCCATCGAGCTATTTATGTGGCTTCCTTCTTATTTTAATGCCTACAGACTAGAAAGTAATTGTGAAGTGGGCTTGGACAATGAATACCTGGAACTGAGACATAGAAACTGATTTGGAGTTCAGAATCATGATGATGTGACAAATAGGCAGCTTGTCCCATATATGCCAATATAAGCGCAGGATATACCAGAAAGGTGAATGCAGTCTGCACATGACAAACTGTTAGAAGACCATTCCTGATTAAAAATTACCTTCCTGACTCATAAGAGCTGTCAATATTCCAGGAAAAAGTAGGGAAATAGAAAATGTGAAAATATAATTAACCAACCTGAATGGCCATGTATGAGAAATGGCCAAGATCAGCAAACATAGCTTCAGAGCCTGCACACAAGGTCAACATTTCATGTGCTAAACAACATGTAGAAGCAACTATAGATAATTTACAATGCTCCACGAAAAATATATTGGTGAAAAAAAATCTTTTGCTTGAGTATGGTGATAGTATACTAAATTTGTTCATGTTAATAACACCATGCCGTGGAATATTTTTAGGGGAATAATACTGGAGGAGCATCCAAAATCGATTCAAAATCTTATAAAAATAAAAAAGAAGAGTTGATTCAAAAGTAAATGTTCACATAGAACTTAATATGAGTCTATTTGCACAAACTTGCATTTTTGGGAGAGAAAAATAAAAATAAAAATGAGTTTTTTCAAGTTAAACATAAGTTAATTTTATAGAAGCTCTCTCGCATAATTTCTCTGAATTTTTATTTTTCACTTGTATATTAAGTTAATTTTAACTTATAGAAAAACTCAGTTTGTTTTTTTTTGTTAATATTTTCTCTTATATGTACTCATGCAGAAATTTATCCAAACAGAATCATCTTTGAATTGAATCGATGTTTTGACATGGAGGTTGCAGAAAAGACAACTACACAACTTATGTATTTTTGCAGATAGGCACAGTTTGGAATTTAATAGATTTTATGTACGAGTACTGTCCAAGAAATTAGATTTAATCATATATATGAATTTTCTATATTTTACCTGTTATGCACAGCAATATTCCACCCAAAGACATCCATCCACTAATCCTTGTCTTCTTCAAGAACTTGAACATATAATATGGAGAAAGAGCCTTATATACATGTCGATTCCATTTGAATATGTTATATAAACCAAGTGTGCTGATGCACAACAGCCATGCCAACACAATCGGAGCAAAAAGGAATCCCACCCTATGTGTACCATAGTGTTGTAGTGCAAACAAACAAACCAGTATGAAGCAAGTGATGGGAATCACAGCATCTGCAATCGCAGATCAATAGGTTAAAATACAAAAACTAGGAAGAAATCCTGAAAACTAACCATTTCAACAATTATGATAAGCTATGAATGAAATCTTTAATTATTTTATTCTAATCTGATACACACCACTACATAATTTTTTTTCTCCCGGTTACCTTCTTGTGATTACGAAACAAACATCAATTGAAGTATAGAGAATGACATTAGTGAAACTTACATTGGTGGTGTTTCTTGGACATAGATACCTCAAGACCAGAAACTGCCGAGAAAACTACACAAATAGATGGCCAGTCAATGAATGATAAGAAAATATTTGTATAAAATATGGTTAATAAGGTGGAATCTTACCAGAAATAGCTGGGGTAAGTAGTCCATCCCCTATGACCATACAAGTGCCAAGAAGAACCACAATTAGGAGAGCCGTATGCAAGCCCTTATATTTCTCAAGTACCATCTTAACTCTAGAAGAATCTTTCTCTGGAGGCTCCTCCATCTTATATGTAGAAAGCGCTTCATCCGCATGTTGTCGATTTGGTAGGAGACTAACTTTGGCATGCCTACAAATCAAGGAATATAGAGCAAAAGTGCCCCCTGCAGAACCAGCAAGAAAACCATCAACAAGAGCTGAAGCAGCATATTGGTATCCATCATGTTTATTCAAATGCTTACCCTCTCCATTATCATCAGCTCGAAGAACTACAAAAACGTATTTGAATAGTGGCACCAGTGTCAGAGTCCAAAATACAAAAGAAAGGGCACCAAAAATCTCTTCATTGGTCTCTGAATGTTCAATATCTTCGGCAAATGTGCTCGTGTAAACATACAATGGAGAAATGCTCAAGTCCCCATATACCACACCAAGGCTTTGGTAGGCCAAGAGCATAATAGTCTTCCAAGAGTCCTTCTGAAATGCAATTTAGCATCTTACTCTTTAGTTTTCATATTGAACAAAAATTTTATGTCCCACCAATCCCTTATCACCAATGAAGAAACCACATACAGTATGAAACGACATTTTTTCAAGTTCTGTTTTTGCATAGCTTTTCCAAGTTAATGCACTAACCTTTGAGGTATCCCAACACTTCCTGGATTCAAGATCCATTAGCCTTACTTCTGAATGGTCTCCACGCAGAAAGTATCAGCTTAAGCACACTTGTAGCTGCAGATCTGCACCGTGCAACAGCACCGCCTATGTTACACAAACCGAAGGAACATGCACACTGAAACACGAGAATAAAGGAATCTCAGACCAACAATTACAACCACCCATCTTGTGTGCCCACAATCAGAGGTAATTAGGAGAAGGAAGACATTCACTCACTTTTGGATAAACTCACATGCCATCCAAATCTCTGTCAAATCTTCTTGACTAGTGGGCACAATTTTTTTTTCCTCAGAAATTAATAAGGGTAGAAAAAACCCCAAAAAAGCAGTATCCCTAAGGTGATATTTTTACATTAAATCACAATTCCACATAATATATTCAAAGGAAATAGTGCAGAAGAAAAAAGGTAAGAGATTAAAAAAATAGCATTATAAAAAATATTTGTGGAGAAAGAATCCACACACAGGGTGTGTTAGTCAGATACACTAGAGCTAGAACCACCCAGGCAAAGAAAGCAGCAAATGCATCTCATCCATCTCATACACAATCATTCAAATAACCAGTTGTACATTGTGACACCTCATTTTATCATTTGGGTTTTTGCTTTTTCTTTTAATTTTACCTTCTAGTCATTTATTTTTCATTGGCCAGGACAGGACCATGGAGAGATAATAAAAACAAACAGTTCACGGTTAGTTGGTAAGTCCAAAAGCAACTATTATTATTAAGCCTTAGAGAGAAAGGAAGCACCTTAGGAAATTAAATCTGAAATAGAATTTGGGAGTTGGGACAATGATGGAGATGAAGACAGAACAAAAAGAAGATAATTTTGCGGTCCAGTTATTATGATGAATGGATACATAAAGTCGCATATCAGCAGCAGGAAGAAAGAAAAACAAGAATATAATGAGCTAACCGTCCCCATGATGTTGACAGAAGGCATAATCACGTGATTCAACGACAGTTACAAGTTCACTAGTCCAAGCCCCTACCCCAAATGAAGCCAATTTGGAGGATCAGTTACCGTTTTTGATTTCCCTTCCATTAATTTATCCATCACTAATCTTCTTTTCTTCACAACCAACCAAACTTTCAAAATTAATACTTCCCCACCCACCTACCCTCTTGAAATTCTCTATAGGCCGTTACTAGTTAAAGCAGCCAGACTTGTGGATGAATGATTCCATAAGATAAGAGAGTCAGGAAAAGTTAGGCTATGAATATATAATAAATACAGTAAAGCTTTTACTGATGACTTATTGTGTGTTTGAGTTCCGTTTTGTATTGTTAAACTGACTTTTTTTTATTGCAGATATAAACGTAAAAGAACAAGAGGGGGCATATTAATGTTTTGCCTTATTCAACTGATATGAAAAAAACACGCATTTAGATGGTAATGCATGTTGAAGAATCAGAATTTGAAGTAACGTATTTTGAAAGAGGTGACGAAACTTTTAACATGTGAGAGATCAGATCAGGTCTGGATGAGTATAGCCAAATGGGGTTAAAAGAAAAAGTAAAATTAGTGTCTAAGAAATTATATTTGGAAGATGAGGGAATGGACCCGTAATGCTGCACTCAGCATGATGGACTTAAAAAGCAAAGGCATGTGCATGACTATAAATGCCACATTTTGAAAGGTCATGGTACCTGAACAAGTGAACGTGCTTCTCACTTTCTCCACCACCCAACTCCAAGATTTTCACAATTCCTTTATGGAGACATTAATGCCAATCTTTTCCGTCCTTACAGAAAACCAACCAAGGATAGCTATGTGCAATGCTCTTTTTGAATCACTTCATCCTTTTTGGCATTCACCAAATCAACTTTTTGACCCTGATAGCTTTGTTTCAATCACGTCAAGATGAACGGAATGGAATCACGAGCATCGTCCCAGAGTCGAAAAGTTGTGCTGGTCAGAATCACCACTTCACTCTACACGTTCTCTGAAGTGCGATGAAAATGAGTTATGAATTATAGCATATTTATATCATGGTACAACGCATGTGCCACGTGGGAATTTTGAGGGTAGATCCTAATGAATAATCCGACGAATCAAAGCTTATACTTTTACTTGTGTTGTGTGCATGTTTAATGGTGGTACTTCGCTTCAAGCAGAAGGGACAGATACATCCGATTCCGAATTGCAGAGAATTTTTTTTATTGTTATTTTTTAAGGTTGAAGGATGAGACAGTGGTAGAGTCACCGTTATGTTCTAGATTAAACGAACATGAATGGAGGCAGAGGCTGTTAATTTTCTCTACCAACCGACACTGACGAATGTCGCTAAATAAATTAAGGTGGACAAAACAAAAATTACTATTATTTTTGGGATTCTAAAGAGAGTAGAACGTGCCTACAATCAGAGGGATGTACATTCCCTATCGTAATGACACTGTCCTTTCCAACTTGTGATTTTTTATTATTTTTTTCACACCAACCAGTTAAAAAAATTCAACCGCATAATGTTTTTCTCACTCACTTTTTTCTGCACTTCCCCTGTTAATAGAAAAGTGGAATAACGATTCCATTTATTTTATTTTTTTCCGTAAAAAGAGATGGTAGCTGAAATAATTGAAAAAATATAAAGTATGAAAATAGTGTTTCTCCAAAAAAAATAAATGTCTTTTTCATTATAAGCCAAATCAAACTATAAATATCTAAGTTGGCTTTATGGGAAAAAGTGCAAAAGGGGCATACTGTCCCTAAAGAAAAGACATTACATGGTCCTTAAGAAATTACACGATCACTTTCTACTTTCAAGTGAATTTCCAAGCTTAATAAATGTATTAAATTGTTTAGTTAGAAAATAGTTTCTAAGAAGAAGAAATGAGAAGCCATCAAGCATTTTTGTATGGTTCCCTCCTTCTTAATTACACGTTTGGAATACTAAGAGTGCTTATTAATAAGAAATACTTTGATTAGAGCACAAGACAAGAACTTAATCAGACACAGTTCAAGAACTGAATATGAAACAACTGATATACGAGGATACTGGACTGGAAGATAGTTTGGATCTGTAGTATTTGGTGGTTTTGGGATCAATCAATTGATTGGCTGTTGAGGACAAACGAATTATCATGCAGATGTTACATCTTCATTAATGCAATCTTTGGTTGAAAAAAAGAAAATGAAAGGAACCAAGAATATAAGCTCTGATAAATCTACAGAATATGTAAAATTACAGAGTCTTTTGCATGTTTTATATTGGATTTCCTTCTTCCACTGAGAACTGCAACTCCTTTGTTTAAGTAGTGGAGAGGGTAAAATTAGGGTTAATGACTTTTTTTTAATGAAAATAAAATTATTAAAGAAAGAAAAGAAAAAAATAACTTACTTATCATCCATTTAAACTATAAAATTTATTAAAAGATGATAGTTGTGTATATTTATTTGTATATTTATAATTTTCATTTTTTATATTTTTTATATTTATTTATTATTTATTAATAAAATATTATTTAATATTTTTATCCGTAAGATTATTTATTCATTATTTTATTAATTTTATTGAAAAAATTTTATTATTAATGAAATATTATTAAAAAATAATTTAAAATTATATATTCTAAATGAAAATATATATTGCGATTACATTGATTGTTTAGATTTTTAATATAAGAAATAAGAAAAAATAATAATAATGTGAATATTTTTTTAAAATTTAATGTATTTAAATTTCTAATTTCTTAGTGATTTAATTTATGAATTAGATTTTAGGGGAAAAGATTACAAAACTTAATGAATCAACTCTATTTTTATCACTTAGATGTATTGATAATTATACTTCAGATATACAATTAAATTATTATTTTTACACAAAACAATCCATAAATCATGGTTATATATATAAAAAAAATGAAGCTTAAAAACATAATAGACATTGGATTACGAATAAAAAATAGATATTGTATGCTTTGAATAACTATTACGTTCCAATCCCAAAACAGGATTTAGTAACGCCTAGCCATGAAGAAATGAAAAAAAAAGTCCGACAAAAGAAGGAAGATCCATGAAAGTGTCTTACATACTTTTTTTTTTTTCTAACAGATGAAAAATTACATCAATTTATCTACTCATTCTATTGGTTAAGTATTTAGATGTAAACAAATAAAAAACACACAAGAGAATAAGAAATACAAATAAACTTCAATATTTTTAATGCTGTATCGTTCCATCCTACTTTTTCAAATCTACGGATTTCTAATTTCGTGTCTTTGGACACAGACCTGGGCTTCATGCATTGGGCTTTGTTCTTGCTGGTATAACTTTTTTTATTTTTAATACATTACTAATATAGTTAGAGTTTATTATTAGGTTTGAGGAATAATATTTTATTTCATCACAATTTTAATAAAAAAAATAAAGCTTGAAAGAATTATAATTGTTATCTGTTCTTAAAAATTGAATTTTTATGTTTGAAATATTATCTATTTTAAAAAATATTTTTATGGATTAAAAAAACGAAAATATACATAAATTATTCTTTAGATGAGTGACTCTAACGAAATATATTAAAATCTCATCTTTGTTATCGAGATTCAATTCAAGTTGAAATGGAAAAGTTATACCGATAAAGAAAATCTTTATTATTTATTTTACAGAAATAAAATCCACAAGCATAATAACATCTCCACCTCAATGCTATATAAATTAACAAATCTTTTATAAATTCAATTTATCTGATTCTCAATTTGTATGTATTATAAACAGAAAACAACAACTAAAATACCCACACAATCCATATAGAACAACTCTGGGTATCTTCACCAAAATATGCAAGTTGGTCTCCGACACCATTACACCACGATCACGTAAGTCCACATCTACCAAGGATAAATATAGGAACAATATCACAAAATGGCCAATTAAAAAGAAAAAAAAAAAAGGAAAACATAATGAATCATGCAACTGATTAAGAAATAGGTCTATGAATAGATCAACACTCACCTTATAATTAGTGACCAGCACCTGGGCTTGGAATATCTCCATGTTTTCTGTAGAAGTCGTAATCATAATCATCATGAGGTGGAGAAACATAAGCTTCATTATATTCATCCATTTCTGTAGGATCATGTGACCCAGTGACCTTGAAATGGCATGCAATGCCAGTGGATGCACAACCCTCTTTGTTTCTTAATCTTCCCGTTGCCACAATCTCTTGGCACACCAAAGACAGAAGAAGAGGTAGCACAATGAGCACAAACCTTGGCTTAGATCCCTGCGTAGCCATGTTCTATGGTCTAAGGAAAGTGCAGAAGAAGATGAGAGAATAACTTCAAAAGTTGTCAAGGCAGTGCCCATTTCAATGATTTATAACCCACTATGATCATAGCATTTTGTTTAATCTTTTTCAAAAAGTAGGGTACATAGTATAATTAGTTTCGCATAAAGTAGGGCTTGTTAAGGTCCACAATGAGCACAAGACCATATTGCTTATCTCTATTGACTGTTGTTATACAAAAGATAAAAGATGTTTTTAATTAACGCCAAAAGCTCATTCTTCTCTTCATGTTTATCCCTAAAACAATAAAAGAAATAGTTAGTTAATATTGAGCTAGACATGATTAATGATCATTCTTTTGACCATATATAGTGAGGACATGCACCATCCTCTATGTTCAAATTGATCAATATAATAATGAGGCGAGACGTGATTATGTGTTGCAGGCTTCATCTTCACATATCAAATACTCACCAAATACAACTTAATACGATAGTTCATTCATGCTCAAGAATGGAAAAACCTTCCTCTTTCTTTTGTTATATTATGGACCAACTTTGGTATGCGAGTTCTTGGTGAAATTGTTAACATTCTTTTTTCTATTTTCTCCTCTTTTAACGCATATCCTAAAATGGACATTGAAGGAAGTTTAATAATATATCAATCAACCAAATGCCACAACGTAACTGGTGAGTGAGTATGAAAACATTTATGCTTCTCGTGAACAACCACCAATCCTGTGGTATCTGCTTAATTCTTGGGTCATGCTAATGTCATTATTCAACAAAATTGCATTCTAGTTCTAATTAAGGTGAAGATGGTGATGAAGTCCTTTCAGAAGGGTTATAATCAACCTTAAAGAGAAAAAGTTCGTTCCTTTCTTTTCGACCTTTCCTGAATCTCTCACTAAGCTTGAAACTTCATATAAAGTTAATCATAAATGAATTAATATTTTTATCTTCGCATATATATATATATTATTTTTTATAGTGGTAAGTAACATACACAACTGTAATAAAATCAAAATTCCTGATTTAATTTTTTTACATTTTTTCGGTGATGAAATAGTTTATAACGTATATTATTAAAATGAATTCAAACACGTATATTATTCAGTTATATTTAATAATTTAGACCTAGTTTTACTTAATTCGAAAACAAATAATCTATGAACAACAAAATAAAAATGTGGAAGGCTTTTGTGAATTGAAAAAAATTATTTTAACATCTACTGATCACTTATAGACATCTTTTCAATAATCGAATTTAATATTATAATAATAATAATAACAAATATTATTATTAAATTAGGTTGTGTAAATATTTGGTACGAGGCTGTCCAAATGTTGTGAATCCCGCTCCACCGACACGTTTATGAATAAAAAATGAATACTTTTTTAAGAAGTTTGAAAGTGTAAATCGCAATGCGTGTGAAAAGAATGGGTTGAATTCATCATTCTTTTCACACATGCCTTTTTACAGTAAACTTCAGCGGGTTATTCCTCCTCTGCCCACCTTGAAATAACATAGTAATATCAAAAATATCTTACCTGAGTATTTATTAACATAATAATAATTTTTATTAATTCGATATCATATCATTATAAACAAAATATATATATATATATATATATATATAAATTTTATTATAACTATATTTTAAATTAATCTTATTATTTGAATATAGTTTTATATTTATAATTTTATCTATTTTTATATAATTATAACAATCAAGTCATACAAATAAAAAAATACAAAGATAAATTAATTATTCAAATAATATTTACCTATCGATTCTACTACACATAATATTAAAAAATTATATTTTGCATATCATATTACGTCGGACTCATAAAAATATTTTCTAAAAAATTATTTATACTCCAAACTCATAAATTAATATTTGTAAATCAGATTGAAACTGATAGTAAATTAAATACTTTCTAATTATCAACATCATTTTGGTTTCCCTATCTATAAACTAAGATTACATTACTTGTCCTAATGCATCACTCTTATGATCTCAGGACAAATTATTAGTAATCTTATCAGTTTCTCGTTTATTTATACCTTAATCTACTTGACTTGAACTATCAATAAAACTTAATATCTCATCAAATTCATACAAATATAGTAGTCACATTAACACCACACAATATCTTCCTAAGAACTCATAATCACATACATCTCAGTTGATTACAAGTCACTTTCCTAACTCAACTAAATATTACCAAATATATTTTAGTTTCAATAAACATACAACACCACTACATCATTTTATAATTCATCATCCATGTTATTTCTTTACAAAAAAAATTTCATTTGTAATAAATTGGAAATAAATATTTTAATTTTGTATTTTTTTCTAGTGTGATCTTTATCTATTTTTTTGTCATAATTTCGTGTGTAACATTTTTTTTACTAATTCTTATTTTATTAAATTCTTTATTTACAGGGCTTCAATTAACACATATAAAACATATAATGTAATTTGGAATTTAAAACTAATTTTTATGATTTTTATAATTCCAAACAAAAAACACATCAAACTTATGGAAATTTTCACTTTAGCTAAAATACTCACTAGAGCAATAGCTTTTTCTTGAATAAAAATTTAGCCACAAAAATTTTATCTCTTTTAGTTAAGTAAAAGTAGTCTTACTTAAGCGAAAATTAAATTAACTTAACTTTTACTTTAATAAATTACTATCGTCTTAAACTACCTTTTTCACTATCTAATCCTCGTTCAAGCAATTAGAATGTGGCTTAAGTGAAAATGGGTTCAATAAACAAGATTTGTCTAATTTTAAATTTTTTTCTCCTTTAAGTGACTAATAATACAATTCATATATATTACAATCATCTAACAGAAATAACATTCAAAACCCAAACAAATAATACAATCATGCAACAGAAATAACATTCAAAACCCAAACAAATAAGCAAACATTTTTACTTTCATTACAATGCACCAAAACATATATATTTTATAACTACACACGTTATTATTTAAATAGTCAACTCTCCCTATATACTTTAGAATCATAATTTCTCTAAGTGTATATATAATCCGTAGTTAATATTTCGGTTCTGACAACACTCACACATGACCAAAATATGTCTCACTATACTTGCATTCTTCTTTTAAACCTCTAAATGATATAAAATAGAATAAATAACTTACCAATCAAAATTTTGTTCAAACATAATCCCTCATTGTCACGCTAATTTTTTTTATTGAAATTTCTAAATCTAAAATTCAACAAAATTTTAGCACATTAAGTTAAAAAATAAACATAAAAAATTATACTATAAAAAGAGTAATATTTATAAAAATTATTCACTTTAACCTTCTATTTATACAGTTATTTTAAATAGCTCAATAAATGTTATTATAAATTCATTTCATTTTTTATTATGATTAAAGTTTTTCATTTAATATTTTTTCTTAAATTCGTAACTATATATTGTATTATAGAATAAAATTTTAGCTTAGGCATACTTAATTTTTAAAAATAAAAAAAATGATTTTTTAAGATTTATTTTTTCTTTTAAATTAATGTTTCTTATATATTGTTTATAATCCAAAAAGTTAAACAATAATAGTATATAGGGAGCAAAAAAAAAAACAAAATTCGAGAAATAAAATCGTAAAAATTTCAGAGATCTATTTATGTTGTTTTAGTTTTAGAAACTAATATTTCAATAAGATACAAGTTCAAAAATTAAATTGGCTATTTCTTATATTATATCATGTCAATGAAATAAAAATTTAAAATTAATAATACAAATATTTTGTTATTTATAAAAAATTATTGTAATTATTCTCTTATTATATTCTTTTACTCGTATGATTTTTTTAGTCAATTCAAATTATATCTGTATGAAGAATTCTTTATTTATAAAATAGAGTAATTATTAAAACGTGTGCAATACTTATACTAATTTAACATTCTCTTTATTTCAAAATAATGTTTTTTCCATTTAAAAAGGTTTTAATTCTTAATTTTTAAATAAAATAAACAATATTTTCAATTCTCAATAAAATATCACTTTTTCGGAGTTGTCTAAAAAAAACTACCTTAAAGTTTATATTTATAGTAATTAAAAAGTAATGTATTTATTGGCCTATTGTGATTATTTTAATAAACTGTTTTAATAAGTTTTTAATCTATTTGCAAAATTCTTAAATTAAAACCATTATCACAAATTGGCATTAAATTCTAAAACTGTTGTTTAGACTTGGAGAAGAATGTGGACTAAATTATTAATATCCCACCACCAGACAATGAGATGAGACCAAATTCTATGTGGACTAAATTAGAATTCTTGTATATTATCATTTTAATAATTAATTGAATATTTTAGATTGCATGTTTAAAATTTGTAAAATTTTGACTAAAAATATATTTCAATAATTTTATGTGTAATATGAAAGAAAAACATTACGTGCATCACTTCCCTGATTTGGTGGTCCAAGAATTCCAAGTTCCCATTTCAGTTTTTTCGATGCAAAACCTTTCAAGGGCTCTGGTTTGGTCTTGAGCTCATGTGTTTGACTATTATCTTAAACATTTTTAAAATTCCCTTATTAAATACGTACATTTTACAATGATAATTATTTAAATTATATTATTTTTTTCCTTCAAATAATTGCATTGCACCATTAATCTAATTATAAGATTTATATCAACTAGGTCAAATAATAATAAGATTTATTTCAAATACTAAATTTTATATGAAATTGAAAATAGGACTTTGTGTTGGAATTGACCATTTGGACTTGTTGGAAGTTGGAAGGAAGGAGGAAATTGTAGTTTGGATCCGTCACTGAATCCCATGACCTCTACGTTCATAGTCAACTCCCACTTTTTTCTTTCACCGATCTTCCACGTACTAACATCCATTTTTTCTCTTCTTCCTGTTTTCACCACATTCTATGTAACACAAAATTCTTTTTTTTTCCTTCTTTTTTATCAAAAGAGAGAAGGAAAAAGGATATAACTTATTTTTTATTATATCTCTTTTATATATAAAAAAATTCAAATTATCCAATAAAAAAATAATATTGACTTTCATCATAATTATATTAAAACTTAAATTTTGCTATGCAAAGAAATTAAAATCAGTATTTAAACACATCTTACAGTTTAACTTTTTTATAGTAAAAAAATTCAAGTCAACATTTTTTTTTCTCATAGTAACTTTAATTGTTTTAAAAATTATTAAGCAAATTCTTCAAATTATTATTACTCAAATAAAAAACTTGTTACTCCCATTTATTCAAATAAAAAAAATCCTTCTTTTTGATGTATTTAGCCTTGATTGAATGGAGAAAAAAACTGTCTCTAAGTTAATTTTTAGTATACCATGATTATTTTTTTTTTTATATGTTTTTCAAAGTATAGTTGACATTTGGAGGACCTCTAAAGAAGTGATAAGAGAATATTAATTAGTCTCATTAAGACATGATGACATGACAGAGAGAGTTGTTGAGAATCACGGGGAAAGAAAAGAAAACAGGCCCTGTGGTACCATGTTTACAAGAACACACCCATCTACTATCCAATTTCTGACCCTGTCAACTCGAACCTTTCCACACTCCTGTACCAAGGATACTTCCCACGCTTTCCCTTCCCTCTCAAATATATATATATATATATATACACACCTCACCTCACAAATCAACAACCATTGATTAACATTCAAAATAAACCCTTTTCTATTCCTCAATTTCTCAACCTTTCTCTCTCTCTCTCTCTCTCTCTCTTGTTAAACCTTTTTCATTCTCAGTTTCATTTCCTCCCTTCATAGCCATGACAAACCACCACCACCACCTTCCATCTATGCTGATGGTGTTTCTGCTTCTCACATCCTCCATGTCATCGTCTGCTAGACCTTTGAATGATAACTATTTCAGCCTTGTAGCAACTGATCCCATCTTGCTTCCTAGCAACAGGATGGTGCTGCCAGAGACACCCCGAGGTCTGTCAGCCTGTGGCCACAGCAGGGTCGCCGGAAAACTGCTATTTCCAGGAGCGAGGCTTGACAGAGGAAAGTACGCGCCATTGGTCCTGAACATGCTCCCCAAGGGACCAGTGCCACCTTCTGGACCAAGTAAAGGAATCAACAACCTCAACAATTAGACATTTATAACATATTTATAAGGATTAATCCATATTACATGCATGGAAAGTGGATATGTCACGTATTCACATGCTTCAATCTCGTTCAAGTCATTCATACCAATTACCATCATCACCCTCTAAGTTTAGTCTGATCTCACTGTTTTCAATATCTTATTTTGTTAACTTGTAAATACTTTATATATATATATATATATATATATATATATATATATATATATATATATATATATATATATTCTCATACACAGTTGCAGGATTATACTTTTTATTTATACAATTTGTTACAGTGCAAAGATGTTCTTTCATGTTCAGATTTTGTTTTGACACAGGGGGGTGTGAGTTTTAAGATTATAAAAACATAAATTTTATTATTTGATTGAGTAATGACAATTTTTTTTTTAATTCTATGATTTGTATTTGTATAAGTCAAACATGCATGTAGGAGAAATATACCAAATAGGTGTGGACAATTCATAGTGAGCTGTTAAAACCGTCATCTCTGATGAGTCAGCGTGTATTTAAATAGACGTAATTAAATTGACTCCTTGAAAACACGTTTTGAAGTTCTTTTCTAAACTAATTTAAAAATATTTAAATATTGACGTTGACAAAAGAATTTTTTAAATTTATTTGCCGTTTCCCTTTGGGTTATAATAGAGATATTTTTGGTAACAAAATATATATCTTTTCAGGCATTTTTTTTTTCTAATCAATTGTTTTTAGCATTAATCAAGAGTTACATCAATCATATCCGATAAAAATAAAGTTTTAGTTTAAAAATTGAATTGCTTTAACAATAGTATTAAAACAAAATATTAATCATATTATTTATTATCAAGAACCAACTCATTTAGAGTTATTCACACTTTACCTATAATGCTAATTTTTAATTTTAAATATACTATCACATTAAATATTTTTAGAAAATAATTTATTGTGAAAAATAGTTTTAACTTAGATTAGTTTTCAACCTCTACACTAATTTAAATTAGAAGGTCATTTCAGACTACGTTTTCAGTTTTTTCTTCCTTTCAACTTAAAATTAAAAACAAAAAATATTTTAAAAAAAGTGTGAAATGGTATTCAAATAAATTTTAATTTATTTTAACTCACTTATATATTACAAAAAAAAATTATAAGTATAATTTTTTAAAAATTATATATATATATATATATATATATATATTCTCTCTCATCTAGTCTTTTTAAAATATTATAACGTTATAATTAACTAATCTAATCTTGTTTGGTATAAGTTTAATGTTTAAACTTTAATTATAAATTAAATGCGATTCTCATGATGACATGTTGATTTGGAGTAAGTCAACACAAATTATAATATTTTTAAAAAAGAGTTATTATAAAAAAATATTTAAAAATAAAAAAATATTTTACAGTAAATCTCTTGTATAAATTAGAAAATAATTCTTTAAAATTTATTTATATAAATATTTTTCCTTCAATTTTAAGTCACTATCTATAATAAAATATTTTTTTCAAACAATCCTTACATTTTTTTAATTTTGTTATTTTATATCTTCACTTCACATCATCATAATCATCCTAATTTCACGGAAATAATGTTTTTTAAATAAAAATTAAAAAAAAAATGACGAAAAAACTAAAAATTTATTTCTTATAATAAAAAAATTCAACAACAACTAAACTTACTAAACTTTTAAGTTTGAAGTTAATTTATAAGCTTTTAAGATTAGTTAAAAACCTTATGAATTAAATTATAAAATTTAGGCTAATTAATCAGCACTTTTTCAAATACAACTGATAATAATAAATTTTTCTTTTAATCACTACGTTAAGATTTAACAAAATTTAAATAGTATCTAAGATTTGGAAAATAACGAAGCTTAGTACATTTCAGTTCAACTTGGATCAAGATAAATGTAAATTATAATCTACATATAAGTCCAACAGATAGTTTCAAAAACTTTTATTTTATTTGTGATTCTAAAAGCATACACTTATTTAAAGGTTCATTTTTTTTTTTTTACTTTTATATATATATATATATATATATATATATATATATATATATATAATCAAATCAATTAGTGGTAAGAAAAAGCCTAACTAAGAGTAAGTTAGTTAATTAAATTAAAAGTGTTTAAAGAAATAAAATAATGAATTAACTTATTAATAAACATATTTTGGTTATAAATTTGTGTATTTTAAAATTTATCATTTCACTATTTTAATTTATTTTTGCTGTCGTCCTTTACATATTTTTGTAATAATTTATTATATTAAAAGTTAGAAAATATTTTTAAAATTTATATCATAAAAGAATGGTAAACATTTTTTTTTACTTTATCTTATTGTTACTATAAGGATCTTTGATAGTTTTTTTTTTCTATAATAATATTCATAGTTAAAAAAAAATGTTAAAAATAAATATTTTAAAATAATTATGATTTTTTTTATTTACTTTGGTTTAGTGACTATAGACTCAAATATACTTCTAAGTGTTTGAAGTTTTTTAAAATAATTTCAAAGTTATATTTAAAAAAATAGTATATTATTATTTTGCCCTACGCTGTTATTAAAACTTTTATTACATGATATTAGAAAAAAAATATACAGAACTCCCTATTTGTATTTTTGTTATGGTATTATCTTATTTAAAATGTATTAATTTTAATTATATATAAATATTCATAAATAAAATATATAATAAAAATTTATATAAAAGTAAATATAAATTATTTTAAAGTATATTTTGATTATATTAAAGTAAATATTAAAAATAAAATGTCATATTATATGTTATTAAAATATCTAATAATTTTTTTTATAATTTTTAATAAATTAAACACTTTCTGACTACCACATTATGAATTTTTAATTACATAAATTAACGGTAAAAAAAAAATTAGGGTTGGTTTGATTTTTTTTTACAAGTATTAAACTAATAATGAAAGTTTGACTTTTAAGAAAAATATATTCTTAAGAATTAGAATGCCATGGAAATAATCCAAGAGGATAGTAAACCGAAAAAATAAAATAAGTTTATGAGATAATAAAATGAAAAGAAAAAGTGATTAACTTATAAGATAAAATGTTAGTTGAAGTAATGCATGAAAATAAGTTAAAAATTACTGAAAATTTGTGAACATATAATTTATTTTTCAAACCATAAAATTAATTAATTTTATAATTTATTATAGTAGAAAGTTGTTTGTTTAAGAGAGAATTATAGGTTAATGCTTCATTTAAGAAAAATAGTATTTTAATCTTAAATTTATTATGATAATATTTGAATGATTATGTTTCATTTAAGAAAAATAGTATTTTAATTTTAATTTTATTATGATAATATTTTAATTATTATATTTATTTATATTTAAATTTTAATTCATTATAATTTTATTTAAAATATATATATATTATCTTTTAAGATGTAATTCTTATAAGTATATCAATAGGAAATTAAAAAGAAAATTTATTTATTTATAAATAAATAAATTAAGATTTTGTTTTTTTTAAATAACAATGTCCATAAGGCCAAGTTAACTTTAGACAACTCCACTTAGACAATTAATTTCTAATCTATTTAGCAATAAAGGCCCGAGAGATAAAGAGAGATGGAATTAGGGGAGGTAGGATGGACACCCTCAATTTTTATATATATATTTATAAAAAATAAAAAATTAAATAAAAATATTTTTTAAATATTAAATGTATTATTATAATTTTATAAATAATAATAATAATTATTATAATAACTATTAATTTTATCTTTATATATAAATTTTTATTTATTTGTATATTTTTTATTATTATTCTTTTACTTGTATTTTTCTTTCATATTTTCATTCCATGATATAAAATTGTGAGTTTTTATTTTTAATTTTCACTTTTTCGTGAGATAAATAATTTTTTTATTATTATAACATAATATACATGTATTGTTTACTATCAATTAATTATTTATTTTAATAATTTATTATGTTTAAATTTTATTTAAAAATATATAAAAAAAGAAAAATTAAGTTGAGTTTTATACATATCTAAATATATATATATATATATATATATATATATATTTAAAAATATATTATAAAATAAATTTTAATTTACTAAATTTTAATTTAATAAATAATATTTTTATTACAAATATTATTAAATAAGTTATATAATAATTAACTATTTTTTATAATATAAGATATTATCAAACACACTTAAATATATTTATTTATTTTATGTTAAAATCGATCGATGATTTATAATTTTTATTAATTTTATATAATATAAATTTTTATATCAAAAATAATTTTAATATATATTATATCTAATTTAATCTCTTTATTGAAAACTTATAATTCTGCCTTAAAGATAGATAAAATAGGTAGATGAGAATATATTTATGATAAAATAATTATAAATTTATGATTATTTTTTAATGATTTGTTTAATATTATTTTTTAACTATATTAAAATTAAAAAAAATGAGAAAAAAATATAAACAAATTTTGAATAATTTAATACTATATAGATATTATATATATTTTTTTCTTTCGTGTTTTTACTGAATAAATTTAATGATGATATAGTTTAGGGTGTGTTTTTAACACTGCAAGAGATACTAAATAAAAAATTAGTTGAGAATGAATATTATATATTATTTTTATTTTTATTTGTGGTAAAAGTAAAAATAATAAAAATAAAAAAATAAAAATATTTTTTTTGAGAATAAGAGTATCTCAATATTAATTAGAATTTAGAGTTTATTATTATATTCGAGATGTTGTTTTTTTTAAATTTTAGATTAAAAAAAAAGAATATACGTAAATTACTTTTTATTTAGATATAAGATTCTGGCCTATCTAGTTAAAAACTAAAAAGTATAAATAAAACTAAACTCTATTCCCAAACATACATTTATAATATTGTTAAAGTCATTTGTTATCTCTAAAATATTATTCATTTTAAAATTGTAATCTTTATTTTTTTAAAATACACAAGAAGTTCTTAAAAATAAAGATACCCTCAAAATCCTAAATCTTATCGAAATATGTCTAATAAAAACTTTTAGCAATTATAATATATTTGTTTTACGTTTTTAGTTATTATAAATATTTTTGTTGGTTTAGGTTTCATGAAATCATTTTACGGTTCTTAAAAGTTGCGAGAATGTTTTTCTAGTCTTCATATTTGTAATTATTTTTAATATTGATTATTCATTTTAGAATATCAATTTTATTTTCAATTATTTAAGAAACATCAACACATAAATTTAAATATAATGATACGAGGAGAGTTTCATTTTAACCAGAACATGAGTCAGAAAATTAATATATATATATATATATATATATATATATATATATATATATAAATGTTTATAGAGAATAATATTTTAATAAAATTGAAAAGATTTTATTTTGACCAAGACCCCTTTGAGTCTCTTTGACACTGTCCTGCTTATACATAAAATGAAACAGCAGCCTAATATGACCCCAAACATTGTTGTGTTTAGTGGATGTAATTTAATACCGTTTTGTCTTTCTTATCAATCCAATGTGTTTGAAATTAAATTGAACTTGGTTTACTTGCATGACTTTGAAGAAGAAGTTGGGAACATGGAACCACATCACAAACTCCAACATCAAACTATTTGACTGGGTCATTCTAATCCATTCCCACCAAAATTATTTAACCTATTTCTTAATTTTATCTATATATTTTTTTTATCATCCAATTACTGAACTTTTTATTTTCACTGTAAGTTTTTATTCGAATTTCAGAGCTTGTTTAACATATTTTAATTTTATTCACTTCACTCAATTTTTAAATGTCATTTTTTTTTCATTGTTTTATCTTTAACAAAGAGTATTCTTAAATGTGATATTACACATATAATCAGAATTAAACTCTGATGAACATGTTTAAAGACATTTTTTAATCAAATCTTTATAAGAAGTTTCAGGATCAAATACAATAAAGCGAGTTTTTACATAAGCTAAAATTAACTTATTTATCTACAATTTAATTTGCAAAAGTCTTTTTTATATGACTATTTTTTTAGTTTATATATAAGTTAATTTTAATTTATAGAAAAGGTCTTTTTTTTCTTAAAAGTTTTTCTAAAAATATTTGTCCAAACATACTACAATGTCGTATCTTTTACAAAGCCCATTATTGTTTATCTTTTAGGACGTCAAGCCCATGGATCATGACAAGAACAAATAACTTGGCTGTTCCTGCCATACTTTCTTTCTCTACCCTTCTCTCCAAAAAGTTCATTTTAAAAATGAGTTGTGCAACTCTATTTTTTAAATAAATTTACGAATTATATTTTGTAAAAATATTTTTTTGACATTTGGTATATATATTGGTCCTAAAATTTCCATTACATATGACCAATATATTATGGGAATAGTTATTTACACTTTCAAATCTTTCTAACATTAAAAATATCATTTTTTATGAAAAAAACTTTTAAATTTTAACATTTTTGAATATATTATGTCGTACTTGATATACCACTCTATTTTTTTTAGAATAAACTTATACAAAGGAATGGAATTATAAGATTTTTCAAAAAATACATGTAAATATAAATAATGTGATGCATTGAGACATGAATCACATTCACAATATTTGTTCAAACGAAGTAATCACCCAAATTATGTTAAAGTTGCCTTTTCAGTTGTAAAATAAAACTTCGAATACATTTTGTGAGAAAGTCAACAATGTGTTCGGATTCTTTAAAATTACGAATGGTATTAGAGATTGTTAAAAAAGAAAAGAAATGTTTGTCTAATTTATATTGGAAAAGTTATTTTGATTTTATTTAAAAAATGAATCAATTTTACTCGTTATGATTTTCGATTTTGAAAAATAATTTTGAACATATTTTTAGTGATTTAAAATAAGAAATTTGTATATAAAGTCTAACTTTTATTTTAACTAAAAACTGACTAAAATAATATGAAAAATTAGTCAAACAAACTACAGGAAAAATGAAAAAATATGATGTCATTTTATTTGAATTATTTACAAGACTAATTTTTCACGTAACTTTATGATGTTTATGACATTTTTAGTTTGAATATTAAATTGAAAGGAACAACATTTATGTCGTGAAGGAAAATTCAGAGGGACTAAAGTGACCATGTAGTTGTAGAATGATTTGAAAATAAGTAGTAGACTATTTTTTTTTAAATAAAAAAATTAAAACAAATCTTTTAAATAATAAGATAAGATATGAAAGTTAGTCCAACCCTTATTTTACAACAAAATGTAAAGATGGAATTATTAGCAAATAAAAATAAATAAAATGATTAGCAATTATGAAAAAGAAATTCAGCTGGAAGAAAGCTAAAAAAAATATAGCTTGGACCAATCACAGCATTGCCACAAAATCTCGCAGAATACAGATAATGTTTCATACGATTTGATTTTGCATGTTTCAATCAGTGTAAATGGATTCAACAACAAAAAAAAAAAAACTAACATTTTGGGAGGTACACTGATCTCGTTTTGCAGAGAAATTATAGCACTGACACGTGATAAGATATTGAAAACTACGGATGTGGAATATTACACAATAGATTCTTATCCATAACCCATTATTCATTGTTATATTCAAGGTACTTCTTTAAATTCATTTTTTAAATTATCACTTTTTCAGTGTTTCTGTTCGTATTCATTAAGATTGATTTCAAATTGAATATATAATCCTTAAATAAAATTTTTTACATTAAGTATTATATATACACATGTGCGTGTGAGTATGTGGTGAGTGCTTGTCTTCTCGACGGTTCCTAAGAACATCTCACACTCAAACTTATGATTTGGATTTGCCTAAAGTGACATTGTTCAGTTCCCACAATTGCACGAATTCGTGTATTTTCCAAATTTCATCACTTTGAAGAACAGTGTGTTAAGTATTAGGCAAAAGGAGCTCTGACTCATGGCGAAGCAGAAGCATAGCAACAGTTTTTTCGTGTACTTGGTGGTTCTCTTCTTCTGCGCTTCCTCTGTTTTGGCTTCAGCGAGAGTTGCGCCTCTTTTGCAGAACTATGGGAACCCCATTTTCAGATCAAACTTTCATTCTATCTACGACACTTCCAATTACGGGGTGTTTCAGCTGAGTAATGGATTGGCTAAAACGCCTCAGATGGGGTTCGATTCTCGCTTTCTCTCACTTACTCCTTTCTTTTTAGTTGAATAAAACCCGTGGGCTGTTAACTTCTTGAGTTTTTTATTTTTCACTGTTGCTTTCATCAAGCTGATAAAACTATATGACCCTCGTGCTCAAAACTCGGTCACAATCACACATAGATATGTTGAATGGTCTTAACTTTGATGTCTGTTTTAATTGTTCTGCAGATGGAACAGCTGGAACTTCTTTGCATGCAATATCAATGAGACTGTCATTAGGGAAACGGGTATCTTTTTCTTGCTTTCATCTTATCCTACATCTTTTAGATGTATCATTAACTTCCATTTCTTCAGTGATTTGATACGGATTGAGATCACACCAGTCTCCTAAGCTTCATAATCGAACTTTTTATCCTTTTATTTTGCTTTTTAAAAAGTAGTCATATGTTAAGTTGAGTTCATTTCAATTAACTGCTACAATAATCAAGTTTCCTTCGGTCACTGGACAATTAATGAATTTAAATTTAATCCCGGAAAAGTGGAAAATGATATGTGTAATTTTGTTTTTCATGTGAAATTTGCATTCCATTGGATAATGTTCTGTATTATGATTTTACATTAATAATCTCCAATGACATATTTCGTTTCATTGCAAGCATTATGGTTCATACTTAGCAGTAATTCAATCTTTAGCCCGGTTCTACTAATGCTGATATGTATTTTATCATTCCAGCTGATGCACTGGTATCAACCGGATTGGCTGATTTAGGTTATGTGTATGTCAACATAGGTACTTTTCGTGTCTATTCAAAATGAACATTCTAACAGCCCATGTCATCTATTTATACTTACTTGATTTCACAATTTGCAATGTGCAGATGATTGCTGGTCTACTTTGACAAGAAATCTGAAGGTCAGTGAAATTCTATCGCTCCAAATGTTACTGTATCAACTTCATGATTATCATCTATTATTGTATGTAACTGTTGGCTTTTAATGATATCTATCCGGACATTCAAGTTGGATGAAGGAAAATTGCTTCAGTTGGCATTTGTTACATATTGACTAAAGTTATTGTTGTTTAATGATTTAAAGTTGTACATTCCTTGCGCTTCCAACCTTGCATTACACTTGCCTATTTGTTTAATCAAGCAGGAAGCATGTATTTTATACATGATTACATACACTACCTATTTTCTATGTGAATAAGTGTTTATGTATCAAAGTTTAAAAGTCCGTTTTGAACATTCTTTTTTGAAATATATGTTGCTCTTTACTGTTTTGGGTGTGGAAGTGCAGGGCCAACTTGTTCCTGATCCTAAGGCATTTCCATCTGGAATCAAAGCTCTAGCAGATTATGTACATGGAAAGGGTCTGAAGCTTGGTATATATTCAGATGCTGGGTAGGATTACATTGCAATCAGCCAGATGTTTGAACAATTCATTCTAAAATAAATGTCACTCATGTTGATTGTGACTAACTGATCATCTAATCTCCTGCTTAATATTTTTACACGTTACTTTTATTAGGATTTTTACTTGTCAAGTCCGGCCAGGATCGATTTTCCATGAAACAGATGATGCAGATTTATTTGCCTCTTGGGTTAGATTCTATTATCTCATTTTCATTAAACAGTATCAGATACTATTCATGCTTAGGGGAGTTTGTGGTGGTCCAAAGAACATAAGTACTCTATTCATTTCTATTTTTAGTATGTGCCCTGTATGTAGCACATCTGATACACATTGTTTGACTCAGTCTCATATCATTTTATGGAATTAACTTGTCATTTTGCAAAACAAAAAACCCTTTAGATATGAATTTCTAATAGCGTGATCATACACACCAAAAATTAGACGAGATAAAAATTTGTTCATTTAATGGAATTCTTCTAGTTTGTGAGAAAATAAATATAAAAATTATGCCTTTCTCATATAGTTCTCAATCCATTGATATGATTGAAGTTTGTTTGTTGAAATGTCTTCACAGAACTTAGCAATGACTTAGACTTTTATAAATATTATGTCTATATGGAATAATTAGATTTTAGAATTACAGCACAACTCCAGAATATCTCAAGTAATACAAGAAATTAGTCTCACTGCTTGATAAATTTAACTATAAAATTTAGTTGGCTGCACTAGAATATGTCAAATATTTGATTGGAAATTTAAAATTCAACAATATACATTAACTATCAATCAATCATATTCATATATTAAAGGATACACTATTTGAAGTGCATCCACCCCCACTGACTGTTATTCAGCATCGGCGTTGGGGTTGGTCCCTACAATGTAGTGAAATGTGATTTGAATCCCTCTTGAGAATGATGTTCACATCTAGTGCCCAACCATCTCGATCAGGATTGCCTCTGAAGTGAACTGTTATACCTTTAGGAAACATAAAAAGAAGAAAGTGGCATGTCTGGGCAAGATTATGTTAGTAATGTATCTTAAGCTTCCTTTTCAAATCATTCCTTTGTAACTTAACATCTGAGTCACATTAATTGTTTCTAGTTATATTTTTCTTTACTTACCAAGAATTTTAACTCAATTCAATCCTTTTACCAGGGTGTAGATTATTTGAAGTATGACAATTGTTACAATCTGGGCATCCCTCCAAAAAAACGGTGTGTTCTCATCTTTGTCTCACTGTATTTGCAATAGTTGTTACATTAAGCCAATGTGGTTGCTTTTACTCCAGATATCCAACTATGCGTGATGCTCTCAATGCAACTGGGCGTACGATTTTCTATTCACTCTGTGAATGGTAATAAAGCATTTTTTATTTTTTGTTATCTGAGCTTATTTACCATTAACTTGTCAGAATTCTTCATGGTGTACCTTTTTTGCAGGGGCGTTGATAACCCAGCCTTGTGGGCAGACAAAGTAGGTAACAGCTGGCGCACAACAGAAGACATCAATGATTCATGGGCAAGGTTAAAGATTTTTACTTTGATTTTTATGTCTTTAAAATTCTATTGGTGATGCTCATGGCTTATCAACTTCAGATGATAGCATTCAATCAACAAAACAAAATTGTGGGTCAATCATTCCTTAGTTACTGCATTAGAATTGTGCACACACCAACAGATAATTGGAACATATTTAATGGAGTAATTGTTACCTTTTTTGTGCTCTTGGCTTGTTAGGAATGAAAATATGCAGAAGGTTGTAGCAAGGAGTAGGCACGTGAAAGGAAGAGTTAAGTGTAGGGATAAATGACGGCAAAGGGTGAATGGTGTTTTTCCATCTATTCCTAGCAGCCAGAATAGGGAAATGAATTAAAAATGTTGACATGCTTGTGAATGTTCTTTCTCTAAAGAGTAAGAACATAAGTGGGTTCATTACTAGAAGCTTAAATAATCCTTCCCAGCCAAATTTTATCTTGTTGTCACGTAGCAGCCGGAGTCAAGAAGTTAGAAGCACTCTCGCCGTCAGTTATTTTAGGTTCAAGCATGAAAGCTCTAAAAAGAATGTGTATGTAATAGTGGTTGGCATAAGTATCATGATTATTTATCATAAAATAATACCATTGAATTATGATGATAGAGATGACATTAACATAGAGTTAGGTATTTCATTTGTTAATGTGGAATCTGGGTTATCCTATAGCAGCCATAAATTTTAATTTAGGTTTGACCCTATGAAATAATTTAATACATTCCCTTGATTTTTGTATATCTATTACTCTATTTCTATATAAGTGTCGATTTGTTAAGAAACAATTGTTTCTAAATATCTGTTGTTTGTAAAGTTTAAGAATGCATTAATTACCTTTCTACCAATTATATCCTTATCTTTTTAATTACATTTATTGTAGATAGAGAAGATAACAAGTTATTAGGAGTGATTCTAGATGGAAAAAGAATATTAAGATAATAAGGGTACTGATAGGAAAATACTAACAAATTTATTGAAAATAGTGAAAATTAATACTTATCTTAGTTTGTGTAACCCAACCTTAATGGACACATATTTAGAACTAGTGGGAGTACTATAATTATTGGGAATAGGAACCAGGTCAAACACTGACTATAATTTTAATATCAAGTTTTAACATTTGATCAATTAGGATTCTTGTCCAAAATTATCTGTTTACATTGTTGTCTCATTTTTAAAAATGTTACCTTTTCTTTTTGGTTTAGCATGACAACCATTGCTGATCTTAATGATAAGTGGGCTGCATATGCTGGTCCAGGAGGATGGAATGGTACACATTTTGTCTTTCTTAAAATTTTATTGAAAATACAAGGATAACAAGAAACAATCTTACGTACCTCGATTTACCGGACAGACCCAGATATGTTGGAAGTTGGAAATGGTGGGATGAGTTACCAGGAATACCGAGCTCACTTCAGCATCTGGGCTTTAGCAAAGGTGTTGCTCTTAGCTCCTACTTCCTATATTCACTCCCCCTCCTGCATACATCTATGCAAGATTTTTAATCTCTCTATATTCATCTGTTGTCACATGTTTTTCCATATGTTGCTCCTCAAATAACCAGCAATTTGAAATTTTAAGTTAGCAGGCATAGTTGCAAAATTGATACTCTGGTATAAACAAATAAAAACAGGGCGTGTCTGAATTCGTTTTCAGTTTGGCTTAGCCATATTTTTTTTTCGGAATAAAGCATACTCAAAATTGTGAATATGTCTGTGCAGGCACCTCTATTGATTGGCTGTGATGTAAGAAATTTGACTGCTGAAACGCGTGAGATTTTGAGCAATGAAGAAGTCATTGCCATCAATCAAGGTCGAACCACTGCTTTCTATTGTTGTTATGATGTTGGTGCATATTGCCTCTGTCTGGTGACTGTGATCTTTATATTGTTACTTGGTACTGCCTTGGGTCATTTATATATGAACGAACATATACACTTCTTTTTGTCCTAAATATAAGTAACAGATACATTTTAAGATGTGTTAAATAGTAATGTTCTTTTGTACCCTTCATTTATCGTGGAATCTATTAATGAGACAGATACTCATTCTATTTATCGGTCTATTACCAATACAAGTTTCACTTATTGATGGAAAAATTGTTTCTTGAATTAAGTGTAGCTTTATTAAATGTAACTCCTACCTAAGCCAATTACTCCTATGGGTCTTCTGGAATAAAAGTAAAATTTATGACATTAATTAAAGTTAACTAACTTAACTATTTTGAATGACCTTGATGAAATTGTTATCTATTGTTTCTAAATGAAAGATTGGAAGGAGTACATTTTTTCATCTATCTCAGTCATTAAGGTTAAGGAAGGATACTGATTGTTTTGTATCTCCGCAGATTCACTTGGAGTCCAGGGAAGGAAAGTTCTAGTTGCTGGAATAGATGGTTGCAGACAGGTAATCTATTCTCTACCACCTTGTAGGACATCTATGAGAGAAAGCTTGGACATTTTGACTGTGTTTTAGAGGTTCACTGTAGTCATGCTTCTGATGTTTTAATTTGATTTGATTTTATCACATTACTAGGGGTTCAATTAGTTTGAAAAAAAAAATTATTTTATGTTTTCACTTTCAGTAACGAAAATATTATCCTGATTTCATTTTGTTTTTTATTTTCAAAGATTTGTAGAACAAATAGTGAAAAAAGTGTCATTTTTAAAATCAAAGGTGGAAACAAAATATATTTTTTCAAACCAAATGACAATCTAAGTGGTTATTTGGACTGCTTCATTAAGGTGTGGAGTGTTCCTTCTACTGAATCTTGTATACTTTCTGAATGGAAATCAATACCATTCAATAGCCGAAACTGTTCAAAGTTTACAAAGAGCGCTTATAAGATAAACCAAATAATCAAATCTAAGTAAGAAGGTATAGCAAACTATCCCTAATTTAGGATAAAACCCCTAAATACAGAATAATCTTAAATCAAATACACTAACTACAAAATCAAAATCTCAAACAACTACTTAGTAATCCAATCAAATCTACATCAGCTTCACAGTTCACAAGGCTTCAATCTGGAGCAAGGAAATAAGCATCTTCATCTTGGATTAAGCTAATTTCACTGTGCTGCTAATATTACCTTCTAAAGCATAGGCACACTAAACACGTGTGATTATTATCTTTGAAACTTCACCTGTTAGTAGATGAACTTCTTAGAAAAAGAATCAAGAACGTTTAGACTACTGCAGTGCACTATTTTGATATTTGATATGTAGAATTTGACCATCTGATACTATATGTGCCACTTTATCAGAACAAACATTTGTTCCTCTTTAGGTCTTAATATGGCAAAGTATGTCGACTAACATGAAGCTTAAAGTTGTGTACATGCTACAATACGCTAATTTTAGACCTTACTTTTACAACTTTACAGGTTTGGGCTGGTCCTTTGTCAGGAAACCGCTTGGCTGTTGCTCTCTGGAATCGGTGCTCAAAAGTTTCTACTATAACAGCTTCATGGGAAGCACTTGGGCTTCAATCTGGGATTCATGTTTCTGTGAGGGATTTGTGGCAGGTTAGTTAGCCTAGTTGCGTGAAACTGCTTAAGTCGGTCTTTGTATATGATCTTATTGGTTCTGTGTCACCTGCTAGAGCTTCTATTCATTTATTTTAGTATACTTTCCCTATTTTAAATACCTTAACACTGCTGTTTTTCTTATTTAAGAGCATGTAATATGTTTTTTGCCCCTTATTATCTTGCAGCACAAGGTAGTAAATGGAGATGCAGTGTCATCATTCAGTGCTCGAGTTGACATCCACGACTGTCATCTGTTCATTCTCACTCCATTAACAGTATCTCACTCTGTAGAGTAGCTCATACTTCACCCACTTATATACAGTCCATCTGTAGAGTATTAGTCCTGTCCATTTTGGATTCACTCACTGCTTTCATGAAAGTGAACCTCTGCGTATTTATTTTCTTCCCTTCTCTTATTCTGTTGCACTATAACAATCCTATATCTTGGGTTTACATCTCAAATACATCATGTACGTTTCCTATTCATTTATCATGATCACATGATTTCCCTGCTAAAAGTTCGCCTGAATGGATTTATCATGGATTAGACTATGATAACTTTACTGAGAGTAACACAAATTTTAACATTTAATAGCATTAACTCAACATTATTTAATATATTTGAAATAACTTAAGCCAAAAGGTTAACCAATAGGGCAGAAATTTAAAATAGAGTTTTTATGAGAGATGCTATTAATGAATTTCTATTTTAATTTTCAATGCATTTCCAGTGTGAATTTCAGTAGGAAAAAAAAATTATTTTCAACCCCTTAATCCATTATTGAATTTAGGTATTTCATGACAAAGAAGGGCTTGGTTGAACTAACTAAATTAATGATGATCACAGTTTTGCCGTGAGAATCAATGCGAGGGTATAACAAGGGTAAACCGTTATAGATTCCTGTTCGGACAACGAAACCAGATTATAATTTTATGTATGTCATGTTAGTACAACGTAACCAGAAATATAATAAAAATAGTAATTGTTTGATTTTAGTGAAATATGAAAAAGTGAAATATGTTGATAATATTTTTTTAAATCTTTTTTCTTCTAGTTGTTTCAAAATATCAAAAAGAAAAAAAATCATTGGAGACATTTTTGGTGATTTGTAATTGTTGTAAACATAAAATGGAAATGATATTACTAAACTTGTACAATATGTAATTTTAACAGGTAAAAATTGGTAGTAGAAGACAGCAAAATCAGTCCTGTCTTTTATCACAAATTGCCGATTTTAATGTTTGGTATTATTCATTTTCATTCATCTCACTATGAAAATTTTGTTTGTTTGTTTTTTTTTATAATAAACAATGCACAAATGTTCTTGCTAGAGAAATAGTCTTTAGGTTTTATTGGGGTGAGTTTTATACATTGAGATTAATTAACTTTTATATATACTTTGTGGATTTTCTTTAATGATTATAGTACGACTATTGATTTATTTTGATTTAATAAAAATTAATGGAGCCACCTTCCTTGATTAATCAGGTACATATAGTAAAACTTAGATCAATTACGTCAATATAAGTTTGATTTTAGATATGAATCAATTAGGTCATTTAATTGCACATGATTTGTTAGCTTGTACGGTCCATGGTCTCCTAAACCTCGTATTTGAAAATACAAAATTGTTAAAAATATATACCCAATTATTTATAATTTGAAATTAAAAGAAAAATAGTTTCAAGAGTTTTTCTATGTTTCAAACTTTTAAATATTAACATTATTTAAATTTCCGTGATTAGGATGATGTTAGAATTTAAATATTGTGTTACATGTTAGTTTTATTTAAACCTATGAACAAAAATCTAACTAGCTACTCCCTCTAATACATTTTTTTTTACATTAAAAAAATTGATAATAGAGTTTTCTTAGGAATTTGTGAAGGTGAGAGCCGAAACAAGTGTTGGGTAATCTAAGTGTGAGTTAAGTCCTACATTGTGTAAGAATGAAAAAGTTAAACAATATATAAAAAAGAAAAACCTATAACTCAACAACTTAAGGTTTTAGGTTAAGATGATATCAATTTTTATGTGGGTTGGACTTATGTCTCATTGGTGTTGTTCTTCCTAGTAAATCCTCCTCGAAAGACCCAACAAGTAATATTGTTGGGAACACAATGCAATGCAAGACAAAAGTAAATAATAAGAACACAAAAAATTTACGTGGTTCAGTCAAAGTGACTTACGTTCATGACTATAGTAGATGATAGTTCTTATTTGCACACTATTAAGTTTACAACTACATGAATATTTATAATAAAAGAATAAGTAAATGTGTCAGACCCAATAATCCTTCAAACTCTACATAAAGTTATGCAAAACTTCAACTTCTCATTAATAACTACCTTGGTCAACATATCTGCAGGATTCTTTGACCCAATAATTTTCTCTAAAAATAAAGTACTATCACTTATTAGTCCTCTAATGAAGTGATACATCAACTGGATGTGTTTTATTCTTGCATGAAAAACAAGATTCTTTGCCTAGCTCTTCAAGAAAATTCTTCAACCAAATCATTTTCTTACTGGCTTCCAAAATAGCCATGTATTTTGCTTTTGTGGTTGAAAGTGCAACACTTTTCTGAAGTCGAGACATCCAACTAACTGAAGTGTCACCTATTGTGAAGACAAATCATGTAGTACTATTCTTTGTGTCTAAACAACCTCCCAAATTTGCATCGAAATATCCTTTCAAAATGACATTATTTCTTCTAAAACATAATGCAGTTTTAGAAGTACCTTTCAAGTAACGTAACAACCACTTGACAACTTTCTAATATTTCCTTATTGGATTAAACATGAATCTACTAACAACTCTCACTGCTTGAGCAATGTCTAGTCTAGTGCATACCATTGCATACATTAAGTTATCGACTATAGATGCATAAGAAACTTTAGTCATTGTTGCCTTGTCTTCATCTGTCTTAGGTGATTCCTCTTGAGTGAGATTAAAGTGAACTCCCAAAGGTATACTTACGATTTTGGCATCCTGCATATTGAATTTCTCTAACACTTTCCCAATATATTTCTCTTGAGATAATATTTGGGAACTTTCAAATTTGTTTCTGCTGATATTCATGCTCAAAATATGCTTTGTAATACCCAAATCCTTCATCTCAAACTCTTCAAGCAATTGTGCCTTCAATCTATTAACTTCATCCATGTTAGAACCTGCAACTAACATGTCATCAACATACAATAGTAATATGATATAGGATGAATCAAAATCTTTCATATAACAACACTGATCCATGACACACTTCTTGTATCCTATCATACTTATAAAACTATCAAACCTTAAGTACCACTGTCTAGGTGTTTACTTCAACCTATACAAACTTTTGGTCAACTTACAAACCAAGTTCTCTTTCCCTACAACTTGAAAACCCTCTAATTGCATCATGTAGATGTCCTCATTAAAGTCACCATGTAAGAATGTTGTCTTAACATCTAACTGCTCTAGATGTAAATCCTCTGCAGCCACAATATTTAACACAAATCTAATAGTAGTCATTTTAACTACAGGAGAAAAAAAATCTCATTATAGTCAATACCTATTTTCTACTGAAATCCTTTCACCACTAACATTGCCTTGTATATCTTGTTTCCATCATGTTCTTCCTTGATCCTGAAGATCCACTTGTTCTGCAATGTCCTCTTTCCTATTGGTTGGTCAGTAAAACACCAAGTTTTGTTTTTCTCAAGTGAGTTCATCTCCTCTTGCATGGCTAACCCCCACTGAGTTGCATCATCCATCTGTAATGCATCATCATAACACAGAGGTTTTTCATTGTTAGTCAACAAGTAATTTGTTGAAGGAGAAAACTTATGAGGAAACCTAATAACTCTATTGGATTTCCTCACTTCAACTATTGGGACCACAAGAGTAGTTTCTTCAGTAGTCCTGTCTCCTAAGGCTCCCACCTTTTCCTGATCGTCTTCTGTAATGTCCTCTAACACTACATTTTTCTTCTCTGTTGGCTTCTTTTCAGCTTCAACTTTTGTCTCAAGTTTATCCTTATACATTGCATTTTCATTAAATGTAACATCTTTGCTTCTAATGATCATTTTGTTCTGATCATCCCAGAAGTGATATCCCATATTATCTACTCCATAGCCAATAAAAATGCATTCTTTTGCTTTCGAATCAAACTTGTCTTTGTTAACATCTTTAACAAAAACATAAGAAGCATAACCAAATACTTTCAAATGAGAAAGATTTACATCCTTACCTTGTCATTCTTCCTCATGAATCTTAAATCCTATGGGAACTGAGGGTCCTCGATTAATGAGGTATGTTGATGGGCTCACTATTTCTGCCTAGAATGTCTTCGATAATCCTGCATGAATTCTCATACTTTTTGTCCTCTCATTCAGGGTCGAGTTCATTCTTTCAGCAATGTCATTTTGCTGAGGTGTCTTAGGAATAGTTTTAAGCATTATAATTTCATTCTCATCATAATAATCAACAAATTCAGTATTACTATATTCACCACTATTATCAGACTTTAAATATTTAATTTTTAACCGTGTCTCATTCTCAACAATGAATTTCCACTTCTTAAAGATATTAAATACTTCTGATTTTTTTCTTCAAAAAATAAACTCATACCTCTCTAGTGGAATCATCAATGAAGGTGACATAGTATCGTGATCCTCCCAATGATGAGACTGATGTTGGCCCATACACATCTGAATGAACAAGTTTCAACTTCTCTACCTTGGACATCTTCCCAGGCATTGCAAAAGTAACTCTTTTCTGCTTCCCAAACACACATGATTCACAGAAACCAACTTCTACCTTTTTCAGTTTTGGAATCTTCCCGTTTGAGACTAGTATCATTATACCCCTTATCGTTCATGTGACCAAGTCTTTGGTGTCACAAAGTTGAAGAATGACCAAAATCATCACCAACATCATCACTAATTGAATTTATCTCTTTTATAGGTAATTCTGTCATGTATAGGATTCCTTTCTTCCAACCACGAACAACAATTAGATTATCATTCACCATCTTCCATTTGCATTTTTCGAATATGACTCGATATCATTGAACATCCAACATATCCATAGAGTTTTGAAATATATCTAACATCCTACAGAGTCCATATTATACCCGTAGATGATGTTTTAAGATTTATATTTCCCATGTCTGCAATGTCTAAAGCTTCATCATCTGCTAGACGCACTTTGCCTTCCACTTCTGAATTTTTTCATCAAATCCTTGCAAGGAGAAACATGGAAAAATGCACCAAAATCCATGACCCAGGAGTCAAACTTGCTCTCAACACCACATATCATCGTATCCCCACTGTCTTCTTCTTCTATTGCATTCATTGTATTGTCATGTCTCTTTTCTTTAGAAGCAATACTTTGATTCCTAAAGTGTCCATTCTGTTGACAATGCAACAAGTAATATCCTTATGAGATTTGGACTGTTTTTACTCCTTGGACTTTGATCTACCACGTCCAGAGTCTTGCCCTCTTTCAGGTTTTCTACCTCTTCCTTTAGTGCTTAATAAGGAATTTATTGATTCTTCGGCATTCCTTCTACGAACATCCTCGTTAAGGATTAAATTTTTAATTTCTTCAAAGGTTAATTTCATAGTCCCAGATATACTGGCTACTGCCATGACAGTTCCTAACCAACTATCGGGCAACGAAGATGATAATAATAACAGGGTTTGTACTTCATCATCAAATTTAATATCTACTGACACTAATCTTGACAATAAGGAATTAAATTCATTCACATGATCTGTAACACTAGTACCTTCTCGCATCTTTGTATTAACTAATTGACGAATCAAAAATACGTTGTTTGATATCAATGAATTCTCGTACATGTTTGATAATGCTCTTATCAAACCATATGTTATCTTCTCATTGATAATGTTGTAGCCAACATTTTTCGCCAATATTAATCTGATAACGCCCAAAGCCTGTCGATCTAACAACTCTCAATCTGCCTGAGACATCGTTTTTGGTTTATTCTCAGACAAAGACTGGTACAACTTGTTATGATAAAGATAATATTCAATCCGCATCTTCTAGAATCCGAAATCGCTTCCATCGAACTTTTCAATCTTCACTTTCCCGTCTTCAACAATTGCTCCTACTCGCATGAAAAAAACCTAAGCTCTTGATACCAATTGTTGGGAACACAAATGCAATACAAGACGAAAATAAATAATAAGAACACAAGAAATTTACGTGGTTCAGTCAAAGTTACCTACGTCCACGGCTGCATTAGATAATAGTTCTTATTAACACACTATTAGGTTTACAATTATATGAGTATTTATAATAAAAGAATAAATAAATGAGTCAGACCCAATAACCCTTCAGACTCCACGTACTTAACAACAAGTTCTATAAAAGTTGTTTTTTCCTCTTTCTTCCCACCCCACCCTCCTTCCTCCTTCCTCCTTCCACCTCATTGTTAGACTTAAAAGGATGCATATTCAGTTCATTATCAATTGAATAGTCAAATAACTATAAATGCATTTCCATAATACCATATTGGTTACATTTGCAAAAGTTTATATGAAAGTGGACATGACCTTCACTTCTAACTTCTAAACATTTACCAAGCATAGTTATTCGTGACTGTCCTATGCTTGTGTGGTTTACAACCAGAGGGAGAGTTTCAGCCCTTAAATTAAGCTATAGAAACCTGCAGTAGTTCTTTGGCAATCTTAATACATTCTGTCATGGGGCAATTTGTCTTGATTGCATTCATTTCTATGTGAGACCTGCTGGCAGCATAACCCTTCTGCAATAAACCACATTAAAAGCTTAGTAAATGTCTGGTTTATGAAGCTTTTAAGCTTTTGCTGGAGTCAGCATGACTAATCAATCTATGATCTCATTATCTCATTTAACCAAACAAGAAGTAATCAACTGACAATCATTTTAACATGTTTAGTATTGAAAATTTTCAAAGTTATACATAAAGACATTAAAGAGTATTTCACTTTTTAGCATTTCACCTCTTTTAATGTACTTCTTTTTCTATTGAAAGTTTCCAACAACGGAAAGAATATACTGATAATACAAAAAGAGGGGCTGTGTTGTGCCATGTGAATAACCAAATGTTCAACCATAAATGACTGCATGAAAGAGGAGTTTAACTTGTCATATTTGAATTAATTATATGTGAAAGCATGATCTATACATCATTGATCAATGTAATGATCAACAATCTGTTAACAATTTTGGAAAAGATCTTAATTAAACTTGTTCCTAACAAAAAACTTCCAAATAATCAATAAAGAACACAATTATGACTTGATTTTTTTAGATCTGAGATTTTTTCAAGAGTACCTGGTGCATGGAGCTCATCAAGGCCTTCAAAGGTGGAGAATTGATTTTTGCACGGCTTGCCATCTGCATAAATACACAAAAACCACCATAAGCCATTCTTCTAACCAGAGTAGCCAACATTATTTTACATTGCAACAAAGATATAATTTCAATAAGAGGCACCTCATCCAGCTTGATGTACCCAAATGGCAACTTGGGGTCACTTTCATCCACCATCACTGTTATAAGCTTTTCAAGGCTGTCTTTACCATCACAGCTTATCCATCCCCACTGCTTAGCCAGATTTAGCATGTCCATAAGATACGCAGACTCATGAAGGGGCCCTGTCCAAAGAGGTCCTGACACCACAAGGGAGTCTGAAACCTGAAAAAGAAGTTCAAATAGAAAATAAATTATGCACTCATATGAAGTAACGTTTATTCTGCAATTTGATCTCCTGAAAATTTAAACCACACAATCAAACTTGAACGGTTTTCCTCATTCCTGTTTCATAAATCATTCATTAACGTGCGAACAATAAATGAATCCAAAAAAGGGGGTTTACATCTTAGTTGTATTATATTATAAATAAATTACAATTACCAAGAAGGGGGAAAAGAAACGAATATACCCTTAGTTGATTATTTCTTATGCAGTAACTGCTTAAATAGGAGTTTTAAGATTAAAAAAATAGAGATGAAGAAGTTATCATATTAATCTGAGAAAGATTGTCTGGCAATATTCCTTGACAGCACAGACAAATATGAACAAACCCCAATGATAAAGTCTCAAACAAACAAGATCATACCTTTGACGTGCTGCACGAGCAACTGATCTGACCAAGTTGATCCCAAGAAAACTCATGGGAATTTCCACACTGGTGACAGTAGCCAATGTAACCATAATGCCTACAATAAATAGTAATTACAACAATAAATAAATAAAGTAAAAACCATAGCAATAGACACATGCAGAATGATACATTACCTACTGTCATGAATCTTCCCACGGTTCAATCTGAGCAAGACTCGGAAAACAGGTCCATGAAAAGCAAAGTAAGAAAACAAGGGTGTGATATGATACCCGAACACTGCAGCTTCCCTGGCAACCCCACCTATAAGCATTCTCAAACCAATCTCATTTGAATAAGGCATAGGACGCACATAAGCTCCATATGCAGCTAAAGAACTGCATAAAATTGGAAAATTAACCATTTGGGGAACTAAATCCATTACAATAGAACATGCAGATAAACATCACCTATTAACCATACAAAAGACAGAGCAAAAGAATAAAAGTTCTTACTGATGAGGACGGTGACCACCAGATGAGTAGCCATCGGTGGAAGTGACATAGAGCAAACCACCGAATTTCAAAGTACTGATGGCAGACCTCAAGAACGAAGAGTCACTCCCAAAAGAATCAATGTCAATGAAATCAAATAAACTCTTCTGTAAATAATAATCCATCATAACCCTATTAGCCTCCAAATGAGTAACCACCCATCTTCCCTCCTCTTCCGAGGAAACGCTTGACAAATTCTCAACGATGGTGCTTTGATAACTTTCATTCCCATCATTTGCCGCAACAAAATCCGCTCCAGCCTGTGCCAAGTACCGAATCGACCGAATACCACATCCACACAATGCGTCTAGCACCCGCAAGCTTCCGTTGTCGTTCTTATGTAATGATGCGGCCAAAACACCAAGGTCCCGGCCGGTGGCACTTTCCTCCCGATAAAATGCGTCCCCTGTGCTAAACTCCAAACCCCTTTCAATGAGGTAATTCCTTTCGCGGGTTTTCTGCGGAAAGACTGGAACTTTACCACCGTCACACTTAATACGATAGAAGGAGTTATTTGGAAAATTAAGGTGAGATGACGAAAGAGTTTGACAAGGAGAAGAAAGAGTAAATAACATGTCGGATATTACGGTCAGAAAGAAATGTAACAGTCCAAGTGGTCTTAAGCAAAGTGACGAAAAATTGAAAACCCTGAGAAATACTGCTGGTGTGTCAATAACGGATAGAGGCCAGACTGTGATTGTCAAATATGTGATTTTATTTTTTATTTAATATATATATATATATATATATATATATATATATATATATATATATATATATATATAAGAAGCAAAGATCATATCCTCGACAATAGAGTTAACAGCTTCTAACGTCAGGGACCACTGTGTCAGTGACTGTGACAGAGAGTTTCTTTAGAGCTTTAACTGGTCTGAACGTTGGTAATTAGGTGCTTGTGACCGTGCTACATTCTAGGCAAAAGCTATAAACTTTCTGCAGTTTCTGTAGTAAGTTTCTCTTTCCCTTAACCTCTGTTATTTGTGGTGATGATAATTGGATATGGCTGCAATGTGGTTTTATGGAAAAAAAATTGTGACTCAAAAGTACTATTTTTTTTAGCCATCTTTTTTGTTGTCCACTTTTGTTTCATGTACTTCCTTCATGGTCCTTGTTATATGTGTGATTAAATTGTTGAGTTCTTCAGCATTTTCTGCTAAAAACTTATCTTTTACTTTTTTTTAATTGGGAACAGGGTTTGTGGGGTTAATTTATCGTCATTCATTTGAATTCCTGTGCTGGATTTGATTTTTATTGTGAATATTAATTATCTATGTCCTGTTTATGAACTGCTGTATGCTGTTACATCTTATTTTATTCATGCTGTCAATCTAGCCTAAGGGGATGAGACATGGTTGTTGATATTGTTGCTTAAGATACCAAATATCAAATATTTATGAACTGATGATGATTTGATAGATTTGCACGTCCAGCTGTGAAGCTCTTGAAGTCAATTGATTTAAGTTTTCTATATAACAGAGTCCCAGAAATTTTCAGAAGTGTTTCAAAAGCAGTAGCTGATATATTTGAAGACAGGATTGACAATTTGGTAAGTAACCTAAAATTAAATGTCTTCCATTAACAATTATTACCCTACAATATTGGCTCGATGTCCCATATTTAACTAGGTACACTGAAATGGAATTTATCTAATTCTTTCTGATTCAGAACTGTGGTTCACTTTTAAACAGATACTAGTTTTATGGACTATTACTCTGTTTTACATGCAGTCATTGAAGTTAATGCCTACATTTTATGTTTGTGCTGCTATCTTTAAACAGAATCTCTTTTTCTATTCTCTGTTTGTACAGATACATTTTGGTTTTTTCAAATATTCTAGATTTTTAATATTTAATTAATTGTACATATATGTAAAGATTTGTACATTATTACTAACTACTTGTATCTTATAATTAAGCTACACATGTTTTATTTTATATATTTCCGTTCATATTTTTAAATTCTATCAGAATTTATCTTAACAAAATTGTTATTAAATTAATCTATCATCTATTATGAAATTGTAAATTTTATCTTAGAAGTTGATATTATATGATTGAGTTAGGTATAAGTACACTTTTTATCTTAAATAATAATTTTTGCAGTTATGGATGAAAAACAAAAAAATTTGCTACCATCCTCACCTAGTCAGCTGTTATCAGTTGATGAGGAACTTTGGAAGATGGCTGAAGAGAGGATCCAAGAGATACTATGGATAATTGAACCAAATGTATTATCCGAGGAGAACAGAAAGGATGTTATTGATTATGTCCAAAGGCTGATTGGAGATTCCTATGGAGCACAGGTTAGGATTTTTATCTAATAATCATATATATATATATATATATAAATTTTATATGATGTTGTTTTTCTTTCTCTCATAATTAGTTGGCTGCTCTTTAATGCTTGCTGTTTTAAATGATTTGTATCTAATTAGATTGCATTTGATGTATGCTGTTATGAGTGTTCTTTGATTTCTGTTTAGAATTTACCAGTGAAAAACTCTTTCCTGTTTTGCTTTATATACTTTCCTTTCAATAGCAGTTAGATTCAAATGTGGTTTTATTATTATTCTACTGTCTTAACATGGTTTTATGACCATGTTGTTAGCTCTTGAATACTTCTACAGTACCTTGTTATGTACATACAGACACCTTCCCCTGTCAATTCATCATTTTCTCCTTCCTTCTATAGTTAGATATCAGAAACAACATAAAAATCATGTCATTGAAAATCAGGTTATCATTTGCAAATCTTATTGCTATTTAACTTAAACTTTGCATCCTGTATTTTGTTTCCTCTACACTGTGCTCTTTCATTTACCTTGATCACCAGATAGAAAAATTGTCAAGCTTGTGCACGCAAATTGTACCCTACCAGACTAGAATTTACAGCCAAAATTAAAAATGAAAAATGTGCAAACTGTGGTCCTCCTACAAATTGAATCTGTCCATACCATGAGAACAAGTATAGTTTAAAAACTTTGCAATGCCTGAATTTAATGATATTGAATTAAATTTTGCAAGTAATTGAGTGCTCTGAACATTGATGACTAGGAACTGGACACTTTTTACAGAAGGAAATGGGTTCAAGATCAAATTTACAGTTTTGTTTTAAACCTTGATTGTCACTTTAAACTTGAGAATCTTTCTTGCTTCCTACAAAAAGTTAGATTTCACTATTTTTTTAAATGAATGTTTTACTTCTTTGTGGATCTTCTACAGGTCTTGTCATTCGGTTCTGTTCCACTAAAAACCTATCTTCCTGATGGAGACATTGACTTGACAGCTCTCAGTCATGAAGCTACAGAGGAGGATTTGGCACTAACAGTTTGCAGTATACTTGAAAAAGAAGATGACCCCCACTACCAAGTAAAAAACATACAACATATACCTGCACAGGTTTAGAAACAAAATTTCCCATTTAACCTTGTTTATCATTATCTTCCTGCTTTTCATTTTCAAAATTTATCTGTTTGTGTTTGACCTGATTATATAGTAGTGTTTAAATATTTTTTGTCAAAGGATATCTCTCAACTTTATCCACTTCCTCTTTTATGCTCTGATAATGTGCTGCAGGTCCAGCTTGTGAAATGTACAGTGAAAAATATACCAGTTGACATCTCTTTCAATCAGATGGTTGGATTCTATACTATATACTTTTTGGAGCAGGTATTTTTTAAAATAATATTTATACCTTATAGGTGTTGTTATAAGATTTCAATAACATTTACATAAGAGTTAGAACTGTCATTTAATATCAAACTTATCATTTTATATATTTTAAAATGATATTTAGACTCATTTTCCTGTTACATTTTTTACATATCTGCTTAGCTTCCCCTTCTTCTACTACAGTATGAGCTATAGATTCTTAGCTGTGTTTTCAGGGTCCTGCAGAGTAAAAAACAGTGTGAGTGATAGAGAACACCATAGAAGAAATTCTGTCTCTATTGATTTATCAGTGATTTCAATATTGAGTTAATTGTTTACTCAGGCCCTTTCCATTTACTTCACAAATGTGTGGCATTATATTTTTCATTTCCAGTTTCTATTAAAGTTTTGCTGATTTTTCTAGCTGAAAATAAATTTTAGGTTGACCAACTTGTTGGAAAGAACCATCTTTTCAAACGCAGTATTATCTTAATCAAAGCTTGGTGCTATTATGAAAGCCGAATTCTTGGTGCACACCATGGACTGTTTTCAACGTATGCCATAGAAATATTAGTCTTGTATATTATCAATCGTTTTCATTCATCACTGCGCGGTCCTCTAGAGGTTAGTCATGTCTTCCATCAATAATATTATTTGCACCATCTCAGCATTTGAATTAAAATCTACTTGAAGAATAAAACCACTGAATCGCTAATATTACCAGGTTCTATACATATTTCTGGACTACTACGCCTCATTTGACTGGGACAACAATTATGCTAGTATATGGGGTCCAAGAGCTCTATCGTCCCTTCCAGAAATTGTTGGTAAGTCCCAAGTTGTTGGATGTATTTTCATGCTTCAGTCCTTGATGTATCCCAACTTGCTTCTCGCAGAAACACCAGAATGTGATCAGGGTGAATTCTTGCTCCAGAAAGAGTTTCTCAAAAACTACAGGGATATGTGCTCTTTTAATCGAAGAGCATCCGAGACCTCGAATCATGATTTTCCCGTTAAGCTCGTGAACATCTTGGATCCTCTACGAAATGATAACAACGTAGGCCGTTGTGTCAACTTCAGTAAGTTTTCCCACTTAAGCATCATTGGGTTAGACTGCATATATATTGTACTTTATTTGCATGCTTTAAGAACATCTATAAGTTCACTACATGCTGAATTAGTTAAAGATTTTGATGTTTCATGACGTTTCAAATTTGTAATGGTTATTTTCCTACCATTTTACTTATCTGCAGCCAATTTACATCGAATAAGATTAGCTCTTTCCTATGGTGCTCGAAAGCTCAAGCAGGCCCTCACCCTTCCAGGACAAGACATGGGTGCAGCACTTGAGAAGTTTTTCTCCTGTACTTTGGACAGGAATGGGAAAGGAGAAAGGGCAGATGTTCACATTCCTGTTTCTCCATTTGGTACTGGAAGATCTGAAAAGTCTGTCCTCGATGGAGACCATGACAGTTACAATGGTGACTCACAATATGTTCAGCTGTATCCTAATTATGCCATGCCAGTAACAACTGTACATTCCTGTTGTCAATCTTCTGATGATTCTGTACCTCATGATGATATGCTTGCCCTGTCAACACAGCAAAACTGGAGTGAAGGTGATTTCCTGGCATTACAGCAAAACTGGAGTATGTTTTATCAAAGTGGTAACAATATATATATCCAGGCACAGACACTCTATCATCCAACTTACAGCCTTGATGAAGGAGGAAAATCACGAGGAACAGGCACATACATACCTGACTTGGTATGTTTTCTAATCAAACTTCATCTATTTATATCATGGTAACACACTATAGCATCCTCAAAAAGGTTGAATCTTGCAGAACTATAATTCCTACTGGGATATACGCGCAAATGCGAACAGGCCAAGGAAAATTCCTTTTGTCAAGTACAATCCATTGCCCAGGTCCCCTCCTACAGAGCAACTAGAGGAAGAGGTTCAGTCTAAGACAAAGTTGAATGCTAATTCAATTCCGTTTGAGCTCACAAATGAAGACTTCCCCCTTCTTCCAGGCACTCCCAAGGCTACACCGCCAACACAAGCACAAGAGTCTGCTCCATTAGCAAAGGCTTGTTCTGAGAGAGACATGGGTGGTAATTCGAGGTTGTCTGAGCTCTCTAGTGAAGATTTCTTCCCCCTTGGCAAGGCTACACCACCAACCCAAGCCCAAAAGTCTACTTTGGAAAAGGCTCATTCCATCATAGACAAGTATGGTAATTCAAGGTTGTCTGAGCTCTCAAGTGAAGATTTCTTCCCCCTTATTCCATCTGTTCCCAAGGCTACACCACCAACACAAGCTCCAAAGTCTACTACATTGGAAGAGGCTCAATCTGATACAAACAGGGGTAGCAATTCGCAGTTGTTTGAGCTCTCAAATGAAGATTTCCCCCTTCTTCCAAAGGTTTGTTCTGAGACACTCATGGATGGATATTCAAAGTCGTTTGAGCTCTCAAAGAAAGATTTTCCTCTTCTTCAATGCTCTCGAAAGACTCACCCGTTAGGCTTTGCAAAGTTAAATAAGCAAGCTAAGAGTTTTCAATCCTCTACAATGAAAAATATGGAGTTTGGAACTCACAAGTATTCACAGTCGCTGAAGGGACAAAGTTTGTCAACAAAGGGTAAGAAAGAATGCTGTGGTGTTTCATTATTTCAAAAAAATGATAGTAATTCCGAAGTTGACAAGGGAGAGGAGAAAAGAATATCTACAAAGCAATGAGAAGATGGATTGATCGTGTTAATATATTTTGCAGGAGATACATCAACAGAGTTCTAATGCATGGTTTTGTTGCTGATTAGGCCATGTTCTAGTATAATAACTTCAAAGTAATACTCAATTTTAACTTTTTTTCTTTATATAAATGTAAATCTGGGAGAAGATAGAACTGGCTGCTGGTATAGGCTCAAATTTCGTAGGAAAAAAGAAACTATTGATCGGGATGCTAACATTGTTCTGCATTGGTGGTCGGAATAGTAATGATACTAGAAGAGATGATAAGACCCGTGTGTCATTATTAATTCAGGCTATAAATGTCAGTCCATTTTTTTTATAGGCTATCGGTCAAAAAAATTTTATATAAAATTGTGTGTATTTCTTAAAAAAATACACCATTAATTATATAAATAATTTTTAAATTTTTTATTCATTAATTAAAAAATTATATTTATATATTAAAATATCTAATTATAATTAATAATTTAACTGGTAAATATTTATAATTTAAATTATAATATTATACTATATTAGTATATTTTAATAATATAATATAAAAAATATAATATTTTAATTATAATTTATTTATTTGAATTTTAATATATAATATATAAATATTTTTTAAAAATGGATTGATTGACCATCCGCTTATCAAACTAGTAAAAAACTAAACCTGTCAAATTACCCGACCAATTATGAAACAGATCTACCCATGTTGTTGTCCTTAGGACATAATGACTTCTCCCTTCTGATGAACTTGTACATAGTGGTCAAAAGTAAACCTTTTGATATTTTATGGTCAGTTCTTATGGTTATCTCTGAATTCATGTTAAAAATGAACTAAAAGAAATGGTTTATATTAGAGACAAATAAAAAAGTAATAGATCGTTTGGATATTTTGAAACAGCATCATTTCATTTGGAAAAGGGACAAAATCGAATTAGTGATAATTTTGTAATCCCTATAAACATTTTACATTCATATTCATAAACGACTTTCCAAAGAAAAACGTTTTGGAAGAAAAATGTTTTACATCCAAGAAAATACTTCACTCTAAATTAATAATAATTAAAATCGTTTTTTAAAATCCAACTGAGCTATATTGTAAATCTTAATTATCCTTGGTATTTTTTCAGTTGACGCAGATATATTGGTCACAAAACTAAAAACGCTCACCTTAAAGCATTTAACTACTATGCAAATTAAGTATTATATTAACCATTTTACGTATATCAGTATCAGAGATGAACACGGAAGATTGTTTAGCGTCCTATGGTTGCATATGGCTGAACATATGCTGTAAGACATAATTTTACTTCATTGGTGCGTTAAGTATAACAACACCGATTATGTCAACAAAAGTACTTATAATGTATAATACATCAAGCTTCATTCTCCTTCAAAACCATCAAATGATAATAACAGTTAAAGTACTCTGAGACTAAAGCAAATAATTTGAAGAATATATGAGATCCCTACACAAAACTGAAAATTCAAAAATAAACAGCAAAGGAACACAAGTTTGTAACATAAAACTGAACCAACAAGGCGTAAAAATATTGAATTTGCTTTTTTCAAGTACGGGTAGGAGCTCCTACCCCAGCAGGTCTTGGGGCTTGACCAGGCTGACCAGGCCTTGGTGCATCATCCTTCAAAAATACAAATAAGTTCATCAAACAAGTCAACAAGAGCAAGTATAATTCATGATTGAGAATATCCAGATAATCAAACAAGTCAACGAGAGCAAATATAATCAACCACTGCTAACAACTTAATATCCAGATAATCAATGTTAATTGATACAAATATAGCACATTTTCCTGATGTTAAAAGATTTCCCATTGTACATTCAAAAGAGACTGTAACTAGAATAAAAATGAAACTAATAATTTTTCTATAACCATTAAAAAATCATTCAAAAGGAAAACCAAGGTTTTAATATAAAAGAAGTTTTAAGTATATCAACGTGATTGTACAATGGGAACTCACTTAAGATTCAATCTGTACACACAAAAAAAGTCTATTTTTCAAATTTTCAAATGTGGCTCAGGGTCATTCTTTAAACATTCACGCAATGAGTCAAATGGGTGTGTATCTGTACACAAAACTATGTGTTTATCAAAACTATCCTTACATCAGCAACACAGTGAAAAACAAAACCAAATTACAATGAACACAGAAGAATGAAAATTGATAAAGGATCATCGATGAGTTACCCTGCGCCTGATGAATCGTTGAGGAGGATCACGCTTTCTCCTGTCAGTGCGAGATCGAACCCTAACAACATGAGAGTGGATGGCACAGGAAACACAATACTGCATCTTCACATACAGTTTGGGAAGCGTGTATTCTACACATAACAATTAAAAAACAAATAAATAACTCGTGTGTCATTTTTTCATGAAAAAAAGAGAAGGTAAAGAAGATTAGTATTACGTTCATAGACGCAAGCCTCCTGCACATCTCTGACTGCCGCCTGTTCAACAATGTTCCTCACCAGAAATCTCTTGATTGCCTTGTCCTGTTTCGTTTATTCAAAGCACACACAATCTTCATTGAAATTCCGCACAGAAATTGGAAAGGGAGAGAGTGAAATCAAAACCTTAGGGCAGCATTTGCCGCAGTTGGAGCATCGAATGAATTTGACGTGGCCACGGCCGTGCTTGTTGCGACCTCCATTCCTGCGCTTGAATGTCTGCAAAAGACGAGATTGAAAGATGAAAAAGGAAGAAAAAAAAATGGTTCTGAAATTACAGGACCTGAATAACTGATATCCGACCATGGTGGGTAGCGCGTAGCTGGAAGTTGCTCGCTCTCCTCTATAGGGTTTCACAGTGGGATGCAGCGGCTTAGTTCAGTCCCGTGGATTTGGTTGATCTACTACTATATGGAACATGGGCAATCTTGCTTCATTCTATCAAAACAGAAGGGAATGTTTTCATTAATATATATATATATATATATATATATATATATATATATATATATATATATATATATATATATATATAAACTTTAAATATAATATTTATTTTATTGATAATTTTAGTATGTAAATCTATTTTAATGTATCCTAACGTGTAAATTCGATGGATAAGGGTGAATGATAAGAGGTGAGTATTTTTAGGTATCTATACATTTTTTATTTTAAATAAAATTATTTTAATATATATTTTTAAATCAATACAATTTTCTCGTCAACTTCATTTGAATTTTCTAATTTTTCTCCTCCTCGGTATTCAAATGAGTTTTTTTTCTATTATTAAAAATATTTATTAAAGCAATATGTCTAGTACAAGGATGTCAATTTCAATAAAATATTGGCAAAAGCTTGATAAATTCTAAAATTAACAATATTTTAAATCAACTGACTTAAAATGTCAATTAAGCATAATAGTGATATATATTTTTAAAAGGATACAACAAAATCTTCTTATTAAGAAAGAGACAATTCGATTTTCAACTAACCCTTGAATTCTTAGAAAAGAAATATTAATGATGAAATTAAATCTTAAAAAATAAAAAGGAAAAATTGATATGATTTGAATCTTAAATATTATGTGTTGATACAAATATTATCATGAATTATTACCTTACTAGGTATATGGCAAGATTATTAATTTATAGTAACTATTTTGAAATTTATATTAATGGTGATTTTTCTTATTGACATTGAAAACATAAAAATTTTCAAGTAATTTTATTTGTTAAAACTTATTATCTTTCGAAATTTATTTAAGAATATCCTCATCGTTTATTAAGGTATTGAAGAATCAAAATACTATAGTGTTTTCAATTTGTTAAGTAATATTAAATGAATTCATACCATGGTATGATTTAATTTGTTCGTATTTAATTTAATATCTTTTCTTATGATACAAGTTAATGTAATAATTTTTAAAAGTTTATACACATGCTTTTATTTTAAAAAATGTAGATTATCATAATTATTTGTAAACATGATTAAAGATATCATTTTCTAAGTGATTCCTTTTTCATCCTGATCAATAGTTGTATGCACCATTTTGGGAAGGAAATAAATTAATTTAAAAATTAAATCAAAATACATTGTTCCAAATAAGTTGCGTGTAATAAGAATCCTGTAACAGTCTAAAAAAACTGCAAGAGAAAAATATACTTTCGCAATAACTTTTTCAATTGAAAAATAATTACTTTAATAATTATTTTATAATAATACTTTCTTTATAGTATATTTTATTATTATATTATTACAAGATAGTTGTTAAGTGTTATATGAATAGAAGTTTATGAATATTTTATTAATCAATTGAATGACTGGTATTTTTGAAAAACAAGAAACCAATATTTTATTGCATATATTTTCTTAATATTATACTCTGATTTCAAATACGTGATTTACATCATGTTTAAATTACACAACAGTTATAATTTCTCAATATTTAAATATGGAAATTATTAATATGACAATATGATTTGTTTTTATTATTATCGTAAGTATGATACCACTCATCTTAAAAAAATAACCTCCTTCGTCATATTCTTTGCATAATTTTTTTCTCAATTTTATTTCATTAATTTTAATTTATTCTCATATTACAGTCAACCATTGTAAAAAAATAAGTAATAAATTCGATGGAGAAGAGGACTCAAATATTCACACTAGGGTTTGATTTCATGGAGATCTAAAAAAATTATTATTATTATTAATTTTGATGATTAAAAAACATAATAATGCCGGTAAAGGAGAAATGATTAAATTAAAAAACATTTAAAATAATTGTATTATTTGATTAATTACATGCATCATCACTTGTTTAGTTGTTTTACTTTTATAATTTCTCTTTTTAATTTATATATATAATAAAAAATGTCTACATTAATTAAGTCATTGGGAATCCTATAAAGATAAAATAACATAATAATAAACATATAATACATTTTAAAAAAGTTTAAAAAGCATAAGTATAATTACCCTATCTATTACATCCTCTATAACAATACAACAATTATAAGTAAGTTGAAAAAAAAAATGTAGTAAAAAAATATGAATGTGCAACATGACTCCGGTAGAAAAAGTGTTTAATTTAATTTAATCAATCAACCAATAATTAACTCAAATAATTCAATTGATCAATGATTTAATTAAATCAATTAATTAAGTATTTACTGTAAAAAATGCTAATATTAACAAAGACATATATAGGTTAAATGGTTTTTCATATGTTTATATTATTCAATTTTTTTTAATTTCGTATCGTTATTATTTTTTATCTGTTTGTTTTTTAAAATAAATCAATGTAATTCCTTCTTGCAATTGGCACAGCATATTTATCCACATAAAAGACACATTATAATTACATATCATATTAACAAATGTTCATACCAGCGTTACATGGAATTTTCGTCAAATATTTTTCCGTAAGACAATTTAATGAAGTTTACGAAAAGTAACACATAAATTTTTTTAAGTTATATTAAAAAAATAGTAAGACAAACAAATTATTTAGCCACATGTTTATTATCTATTTTTTAAAATCAATATAAAAGATAAATCAATGTCGTAATAAGTTTCAATATTTTAATCAATCAAAAAATTAATCAACTCCAATAATTTAATGAATTGATTAAATATAACAAATTGGTTAAACTTTTATTTGAAATTCTTGATTGATAACCAATGTTATTATACATGAACATTATGTTTTAATGAAATATTTACAAAAAAAAATGATTTTAGCGTTTTTTTTTATATTTTAGAAAAATACAAATACAAATAAAATCTATGGTTGATTTAGTTTTTTTTAATAGTTTTATTATAAAAAACTATTATTTAGAAGAAAAAAAAGACAAAATTTATTTAATAATTATAATTTAAAAAATATTTTAAATAAAGAAAGAGTAAATAAGGATATGTTGCAAGGGAAATCAAACGATGACTTCAACCTTTGCTACGAGGATATCAATTTCAAAAAAGTATTTGACAATAGTTTGGTAAATTCCAAAATTAGTTGCCTTTTAAATTAATTAAGGTAACAAGTTTATTAAACATACAATTAATGAAATAGTGATATATATTAAAGTATAACAAAACCATCTTATGAAGAAAGGGACAATTCAATTTTCAATTACCCTTCTTGCATTCTTGTAAGAGAAGCATGATTGATGAAACTAAATCTTAAACAAAATAAAAATTGATATGATTTGAATCTTATGACACAAGATAATGTAATAACGTTTCGAAGTTTATACACACGCTTTTATTTTAAAAATTGTAGACGATCATTGATCATTTGTAAACAAGAATAAGTATGTCAACTTTCTAAGTAATTCCTTTTTCAAAACCAAATTGTTATATGCACCACTTTGGAAAAGGAAATAAATTAATTTAAATATTAAATAAAAAAATACATGGTTCCAATCCAACCAAGTTGTGTGCAATACGAACGTTGTTCCAATGTAAAAAAAATCGGTAAGAGGAAAACTTTTTCAATTGAAAAATAATTACTTGGTAATTATTTTTTAATAATAATAATTTCTTGATATTATATTTTTATTATTATATTATTACATAGTAGTTGTTAAGTGTTATATGTAAAAAAGTTTTTAAATACTTCCTTAATAATTAAATGGTGGATATTTTTGGAAAATAAATAACCAATATTTTATTACATATATTTTCTTGATACTTTTATTCAAGTAGCTAGTATGATTGAAATAATAGCAAGTTGTGACATTTTTTTCTTATTTATTAATGGAAATATATACCACTCACTGTGTATAAATAACCTCTTGCTTACCATCACTTGCATAACTTTCTCTCATCTCTATTCCATTAGTTTTATTGTGTTACTTTTCTCTCATATTACAACACATCACAATGAAGCATTGTCATAGAAGGAGTCGTAAGTCTGATGAAGATGGAGGTTCAAATGTTCACACTAAGGTGTTGATTGATTTCATGTCAAAGGATAGTGACACAACTGGAGAAGGGATAGTAAACAAAGAGAACACATTCTCTTGTAACTATTGCAAGAGAGAGTTTTCTACCTCACAAGCTTTAGGAGGCCACCAAAATGCACATAAGCAAGAACGTGCTCTTGCAAGACGACGTCAAGGTTCTGAAGTGAGTGGGTTAGGACATTTTCCTTATCACCCTTATTATCCAACCTTTTATAACTCTCATTCTCTTGGGTCTTTTAGAACACCAGGGATCCGAACTGACTCCATGATTCATAAGATTCCTTGGGCTTCAAGGTATGAACATGCATTCTTTAAAAAGAATCACGGAACATCAATGTTTGATGGGTTTGACATTATGAAAAGTGATTATCCAATCAAGAAAAGTTATACATCTCCAAATTTTAAGATAGATGATGAGGAGGATAAAACCTACAGTGAAACACTCTCCCTTTTTCCTACAGTTCCAAGCCAACTCAGAAATATGCAAACACTCGCAGTACCAGTAATTGATTATCACTCCACTCAAAGAGAAACTTCTCATCAAGAGTCTTACAATCTTGATTTGACACTCAAGCTTTAAATATTCAGTCTTTTTTTTTTTTTTTTTTTGTTATAAGATATTTTTTGTATTTCTTATTTGAGTTTCTCTTTAATATAAAAAAGGTACTTGATTGTGACTCCTTTTTTTAATCGAAAATTTATACATTTGTAATTAATTAATGAGTTTACAAAGAAACAGTTATATTCGTAAAAAAAAGGTAACGGATTGATTTTTTTAACGCGTATAATAATAATAATAATTAAATATTAATTTGTATAGAAGAGTAACGATGATTAAATTAATTTTTATTATTTAAAAAAATATTTTTATGCATACAATTAAATTTATACAAGTTTTGACGTTTTGTTATCAATATTCAATATAATATGAAAAAAAGAAAAAACACATAAGTTTTTACCACGTTAGAATGTTTATAAGGGATGCTAAACTTGTTGTTTAATAAAAATTATCAAATTCTGTGTGACAAAAAGTAGGGTGGGTAAGGGTAGGTTTTGTGCTTTGTTCCTCGTGTTGTTAATTATTTTTATTATAGTCCTCCTTCTCTTTAATTTTTTATATTTATATTAAAAATATATATAAATAAATATTTGATATTTTTTAATAGATATAAAATATTTATAACATTATAAACAAACATTTAATTATATGTATAAGTTAATTATTTTTAAGTTAGTATTTTAAAATATTAATAAATATTAAATATATAATTTATAAAAAAATATTTAATAAGTATAAAAAAAGTAGTATAAAGTAAAAAAAAAAAAATTAACAGTCAAATTTTGTTAATCCTTCATTTTTCTTTCATATGAACAAATTAATCTGTAGGTACTAGTATAATTATAATCTCTATCCAATTTTTATAAGCAATGCATAAAAATTGACTTACTTGAGAATGAATTCTTAAATTTTTATGCGTTGTTGTGAAGTAAATCTCCTCCAAAACAATTACTGATAATATATATCATATAACTACTTTGTTAAACAAATTAGACATCCTAGGTGAAAATGCTTACCTCTATATATGTTGTAATATATTAAAAAATGAAATTTTTTTGTAAAAAGGGTATTTTTAGTATATATATATATTAAAAGATAAAAATTAAAAAAAAATATACTTAAGATGCATAATGTAATCACATATTTATTAATTACTATAATATTTGTTTTTGTGAACTGAAAAATAAAAGGAAGATTTAGAAGAAATTTGAGTTAAAAAAAAGAGAGGTTAATATAATGTTTTCACTAGACTTAACAAAACTTTTTTATTTTCTATAATGTATTAAAGATTCATAGATTTTTATTCAATTTAAAAAATATTAGTTGAACCTATTTTTAATTTTTAATTTAGTAAAGGAAAGGGATTATTATAAATAGTAACCAATAATTTAGCATCTCGACTCTGCAGCTGCGTCACCGAAACCCTAGAGAGGAGAGCGAGTAACTTCCGGCTACGCGCTACCCACCATGGTTGGAGGAGATCCGTTTTTCAGTTGTGTAATCCCCGAATCATCTTCTTCCTTTTCTTCTTTCTCATATTCAATCTCGTGTTTTGCAGACATTCAAGCGCAGGAATGGAGGTCGCAACAAGCACGGTCGTGGCCACGTCAAATTCATTCGATGCTCCAACTGCGGCAAATGCTGCCCTAAGGTTTTGATTTCGGTCTCTCCCTTTTCAATTTCTGTGCGGAATTTCAATTAAATTTTTTTGCTTATTGAATAAACGAAACAGGACAAGGCAATCAAGAGATTTCTGGTGAGGAACATTGTTGAACAGGCGGCAGTCAGAGATGTGCAAGAGGCTTGCGTCTATGAACGTAATAATAATCTTTATCTTCTCATTTTTATTTTTTTTTATGAAAAAATGGCACACTAGTTATTTATTTGTTTTTTAATTGTTATGTGTAGAATACACGCTTCCCAAACTGTATGTGAAGATGCAGTATTGTGTTTCCTGTGCCATCCACTCTCATGTTGTTAGGGTTCGATCCCGGACTGACAGGAGAAAGCGTGACCCTCCTCAACGATTCATCAGGCGCAGGGTAACTCATCGATGACCCTTTATCAATTTTAATTCTTCTGTGTTCAATGTAATTTGGTTTGTTTTTCACCGTGTGTTGCTGACGTGAGGATAGTTTAGATAAACACATGTTTTGTGTACTGAGACACCCCACACCCAAAATGTTTCATTGCTTGAATGTTTAATGATCCTGAACCACACTTGAAAATTTTAAAAACTGAGTTTTTTTTTTTTTTTTCGTGTACAGATTGAATTCTAAGTGAGTTCCCATTGTACAATCATGTTGATATACTTGCAACTTCTTTTGTATTAAAACGTTAGTTTTCTTTTCGTTTCATGATGGTGTTGGGTCATACCCAATCCCTCTCATTCCCTGATGTTGGAGTAAGTTTTACTCTTAAACTAATTGCCTCTCTCCTAATTAGGTTTAAAATTTAAAAACATTACTCAAGTAGAGGTATTAGAAACCATACTAAGTATTTCTCAAAATTTTTTAACTCTTTAAATTTGGTACACTATGCATCAACATAGACCAAAATCTAGGATGTATTCATTACTTCAGGATTATATGAATTATTTCATCATGTTAGACCCAAATTTGAAATATTAGTTGCTACACTAAGATGCCTTAAAAGACTTAAAATATTGGATATTCAATACTTCAGGATTACTTGAATAATTTCATTTTGTTCGACCCCAACTTTTAGAAACTCTTTGGTACACTAAGATACATTACCTTAATATTTTTAAGTCTAACTTTGTGGTTTTGTGCTTGATGTTGTGAATGGAGAGTTTGACAATACTAAAAACATATGATATTTGATTTTATTATATCAAACTTGTGTATTATTCCACAATTACCTTTGAGCTGTATAATTCAGAACTGTGTCTGATTTTCTGTTTTGGTGGGAAATTTATATATGAATGATTTAGTTAATGGTGATAGAAAAATTATTTAGTTTCTTTTTTATTCTAGTTATTTTCTCTTTTTGAATGTACATTGGGAAATCTTTTAACATGAAGAAAATGTGCTATATTTATATCAATTAACATTGATTATCTGGATACTAAGTTGTTAGCAGTGGTTGATTATAATATGCTCTTGCTGACTTGTTCGATTATCTGGACATTAAATTGTGATCTTTATTCACAATCATGAATTACACTTGCTCCTGTTGACTTGTTTGATGAATTTATTTGTATTTTTGAAGGATGATGCACCAAGGCCTGGTCAGCCTGGTCAAGCCCCACGACCAGCTGGGGTAGGAGCTCCTGCTCGTGCTTAAAAAGAAAATTCTATTAGGCCTTGTTTGGTTCAGTTTTATGTTACAAACTTGTGTTACTTTGCTGTTTATTTTCGAATTTTCAGTTTTGTGTAGGGATCTTATATATTCATTTTATTTGCTTTAGTCCAATATAGTACTTTAATTGTTCTGATTTGACGGTTATGAAGGAGAATTAAGCTTGTATTATTAATATTATTACAAGTACTTTTGCTGACATAATCGGTGTTATCCTAAACGCACCAATGAAGTAAAATTGTTATGTCTTACAGCATATGTTCATCCATATGCAACCATTGGACACTTAACAATCTTCCGTATTAATCTCTGATACACTTAAAAATGATTAATATAATACCTAATTTGCATATTAGTTAAATGCTTTGAAGGTGAGCATTTTGGAGGACATGGATTATTTTTAAAATTAAGATCACTAGAAATATCAAACGTTAGAATGTGGTCTAAGACTGATTCTTTTTTTCTTTAATTTAGTTTTAAAAATAAGCAAGCGATTATGTCAAATATAACTTATATGGTATTTATTTAATTTTAAATGCGAATTTAAGTAAAATTATTTGATTTAATCACAAGCTCTGTTGGATTTTAAAAAACGATTTTAATTATAATAAATTTAAAGTGAAGTATTTTCTTGGTTGTAAAACATTTTTCTTCCAAAACCTTAACTTTGAAAAGTTGTTTTTGTTAGTAAGCATATATAATGTTTTTAAAGCAAAGATAGATAGGAATTAAAAGATTACCACTAATTCCATTATGTCATTTTTCCAAATGAAATGTTGCTATTTCAGAATTTCCTAACCATAGAATCCCTATTAATTTGACTCTAATAGAATCCATTTCCTCTAATTATGTTTCGATTCGTTTTTACTATTAATTCAAATATATAGGCATAAGAACTGACTCAAAATTTTAAAAAAGGTTTATTTTTTACTAGTACGAACAACAAGTTAATCCGAAAGGAGAAGTGATATTTTTGTCCCTGGTACAATTACTATTTCGACCAATGCAGAACAGAATTGGTTAGCATCCGGACCAATTGTTTCTTCCTATGAATTTTGAGACTATACCAACAACCAGTGCTATCTTCTCATAGATTTACATCTATATAAAGAAAAAAGTTAAAATTGACGATAACTTTAAAGTTATTAACATGGCCTAATCAGCAACAAAGTCATGTATAGGAACTCTCCTGATGTATCTCCTCCAAGATATCCATTTTAACACAGTCGATCCATCTTCTCATTGCTTTCTCGATATTCTTTTTTTCTCTTCCTTGCCACCTTCGGAACTACCATAATTTTTTTAGATAATGAAACACACAATCTTCTTTCTTACCCTTTGTGGACAAACTTTGTCCCCTCAGTTACTATAAATACTCGTGAGTTCAAAACTCCATATTTTTCAGTTTAGAGGAATGGAAACTCTTAGCTTGTTTAATTAACTTTGCAGAGCTTCATGGGGGAGTCTTATGATAGCATTGAAGAAGAGGAAAATCTGTATTTGAGAGCTCAAACGACCTTGAATTGCCATCCATGTGGTCTTAGAATAAACCTTTGGAAGAAGGGGAAAATCTTCATTTGAGAGCTCTATGTCTCAAATTGAGTCTTTTCCAATGGAGTACACTTTTGGGCTTGCATAGGTGGTTTAGCCTTGCAAATCGCATGGAAGAAGGGGGAAGAAATCTTCACTACATTGTTCAGAAAACATCAAATTACCACCCTTGTCTGTCTCAGAACAAGCCTTTGCTAATGAAGCAGACTCTTGTGCTTGTGTTGGCAGTGTAGTCTTGGAAGTGCCTGGAAGAAGGGGAAGTCTTCATTTGTGAGCTCAAGCAGAGTTGAATTAGCATTCAACTTTGTTTAAGAATGAACCTCCTCAGCTAGTTGCTTTGCAGGAGGTGATTTGGGCAATGGATTGTAATTACAAAAGGAATTTTCCTTGGCCTATAGTTCTGCAAGATTCAACCATTTTGAGGATGATATAGTGTGTTATCATGATAGAAATAGATAAAGTTTGATAAGACAACATACCTCCTCGTGATTTTCCTCCATCAAGGCTGTGTAAGTTGGATAATAGAGTGTCTGTCCCGGGATATATACATTGCTACCACTTTGATAAAACATACTCCAGTTTTGATGTAATGCCAGGAAATCACCTTCACTTCAGTTTTGCTGTGTCGATGAAGCCAAGAAATCACCTTCACTCCAGTTTTGCTGTGTTAACAGGCAAGCATATCATCATGAGGTACAGTTGTTACTAGCATGGCATGATTAGGATACAGCTGAACTTATTGTGAGTCACCATTGTAATTATCATGGTCTCCATCGAGGATAGACTTTTCAGATCTTCCAGTACCAAATGCAGAAACAGGGATGTCAACATCTGCCCTTTCTCCTTTCCCATTCCTGTCCAAAGTAAAGAAGAAAAACTCCTCAAGTGCTGCACCCATTTCTTCTCCTGGAAGGGCGAGGGCCTGCTTGAGCTTTCGACCACCATAGGAAAGAGCTAATCTTTTTTTTTTTCTTATGTAAATTGGCTGCAGAAAGAGTAAAATGCCAGCCAAATAAGTGGTAGAGAACTATGCATGGAAAAAAATAACCATTACAAATTTGAAACGTCATGAAACATCAAAATCTTTAACTATTTCAGCATCAATTATAAAACTTTAGAGTCACTGCTGGAGTATATCAAGTATAAATATATCTAACAGTGGTAAACAAGCCTTGATGCATTTTTTCACCAGCATGTTATGTTGTATTGAACTTGTAGATGTTCTTAAAGTATGCATAGACATTTTTCCGTGGGAGAAAATCTATACAATTTCTGAAGTCTGACAACTTATCACTTATAACAATTTCTTGAAGGGAGGATAAGGCTCTTGGACCTCAATACTAGCATAATTGTGGTCCCAGTCAAATGAGCCGTAGTAGTCCAGAAATATGTATAGAACCTGCTAATATTATTGATGGAAGACATGACTAACCTCTAGAGGACCACGCAGTGACGAATGAAAACGATTGATAATAGGCCAGACTAATATTTCTATGGCATATGGTGAAAACAGAATTTCTTTTATGGTGTTCGTGATCATTCACACTGTTTTTGACTAAGAATCTATAGCACACACTGAGGTAGAAGAAGGGGAAGCTAAGCAGTTATGTAAATATGTAACAGAAAAGTGCAGTACCAATATATAAAATGCTAAGTTTAATATAAATTATAGTTCTAACTCTTGATAAATGTTATAGAAATCTTATAACACTGTAAACCCGAAATCCTATTAATTAAAAAAAGAGCTGCTTCAAAAGTATCTAGAATATAATCCAACCATCTGATTCAAAGAGATGTCAACTGGTATATTTTTCACTGTACATTTCACAGGCTGGAGCTGCAGCTCATCATCAGAACATAAAAGACTAAGTCCATAAAGTTGCGAGATATCCTTTGACAAAAAAAAAAGTTAAACACTACTATCTAAGTCAAACAAAAACAGATTAACCTTGAAAAAAAAAAAATAACAGGAAGATAATGGTAAGTGGAAGAGCACAGTGTAAAGGAAACAAAACACAGCATGCAAAGTTTAAGTTAACCAACAGTGTAAAGATTGTATTGATTATATAAGACTTGCAAATGATAACCTGGTTTTCCATGACATGATTTTTATGTTAATTTTGATTTCTAACTATAAAAGGGGAAAAATGATGAGTTGACAGGGGAAGGTTTATATGCACATCTAAGGTATGATAGAAGTATCCAAGAGCCCAACAACATGGTCATAAAACCATGTTAAGACAGTAGAATTAAAATTACAATCACATTTGAATTTAACTGCACTCAAAAAGAAAGTATATACAAGGGAAAGAGTTATCCACTAATAAATTCTAAACAGAAATCAAAGAACAGTCATAACAGCATACATCAAATGAGATTTAATTATATACAAATCATTCAATGCAGTAAACATCACAAGAGCAGCCAACTAATTATGAGAGGAATAAAAACAAATTCATGTAAAAAATTATAAATATGATTATTAGATAAAAAAATCCAACCTGTGCTCCATAGTAATCTCCTATCAGGCTCTGGACATAATCAATAACATCCTTTCTGTTCTCCTCTGATACTACATTTGGTTCAATTGTTCATAGTATCTCTTGAACTTTCTCTTCAGACATCATCCAAAATTCCTCATCAACTGATAACAGCTGACTAGGTGAGGATGGTAACAAATTTTTGTTTATCATCCATAATTGGAGACATTATTACTTAATATTAGAAAATGAATTTGAGCTTAACTTCATCTTTCAAAACCAATTATAAGGTAAGGTTTTCAATCGGATACCAGATAATACAATAAACCAAACAAATCTAATTCAAATTGACTATGATACCTTAAAAATATGAACAGGAATGTACAAAATAAAATATGTGTAACCTATTTACAAAATACATGCCCCTTCTTCCTTGCAGGCAAGTCTACACCACTAGCTCAAGCCCAAAAGTCTACTCCATTAGAAAAGGCTCATTCCTAGACAGACAAAAATGGTCATTATAGGTTCTATGAGCTCTAAAGTGAAGATTTTTTCCCCCTTCTTCCATCCGTTCGCAAGGCTACACCACCAACACAAGCCATCAACTACATTGGAAAAGCCTCGGTCTAAGACAGATCGGGTTTGCAATTCGCAATTGTTTGTACTCTCAAATAAAGATTCCCCATTCTTCCAAAAGATTGTTCTGAGACGCGCATTGATGGCAATTGAAGGTCGTTTGAGCTCTCAAAGACAAATTTTCCTCTTCTTCAATGCTCTAGGAAGACTCCTTGTCAGGCTCCGCAAAGTTAAATAAGCAAGCTAAGAGTTTCCAATCCTATATACTGAAAAATATGGAGTCTGGAACTCACAAGTATTTACAGTCCCTGAGGGGACAAAGTTTGTCAACAAAGGGTAAGAATGAAGATTGTGGTGTTTGATTATCCAAAAAAAAAAATGATACTAGTTCGGAAGGTGACAAGGGAGAGAAAAAAGGAATATCCAGGAAACAATGAGAAGATGGATCGACCGTGTTAACATGGATATCTTGGAGGAGGTACGTGAGGAGAGTTCATATACATGACTTTGTTGCTGATTGGGCCATGTTCTAGTATAATAATTTAAGTAATAATAATCAATTTCAAATTTTTTTTCTTTATATAGATGCATATCGATGAGAAGATAGAATTTGTTGTTGGTATAGTCTCAAATTTCATAGGAAGAAACAATGGATTCGTATGCTAACCAATTCTGTTCTGCATTGGTTGAAATAGTAATTGTAATAAGGACAATCACTTCTCCTTTCGGGTTAACTTGTTGTACATACTAGTAGTAAAAAATAAACCTTTTAATTTTTTATGGGTCACTGGGGATTTTTTTACTAAAATAATATTATTATATTATATATATACGTTACATAACCTCTCTAATTGTTTACTTTAACTAAACTTCTCATAAAATTATTTACTTAACTCGAATCTCTTATATTTGATATTAGGTTTCTCGTAAATCGAATTCTAACTTTAAATTTACCAAATTTTTTAAATAAAAAAATTAAATAAAATATATAATTAAAAATAATAAAATTAATATTAAAAATAAAATTTTAATTTTAAAATTTAAATAATATTTATATAAAAAATAATAAAAATAATATATTATTTAAATATATTTTAAATTATTTAAATATATTTAAATAATTATTAAAAATATTAAATAATAATTTTTATTATATTTTTTTATATATTTTTTTTATTTTTGAATAGGAAATTTAAAATTTATATATTTTTTATTATATGAATTATTTAAGTTATGATTTTAGAAAAAAATAGAATAAATAAAAATTTAATTTAGGTAATATATTAAAAAATTAAATATTATATTATAGAAATTTATGTAATAGTTTTTATTTGATAAATTATAAATATCATATTAAAAATTCATGCTAAAATTAATTTTTTTAAAATAATAAAGTAAAAAATTTATTTAATTAGTTAAAAATTATTATTATTAATATAAAATAAACTTAAAAATAAAAAATAATAAAAATTGACAGAATTTAATGTATAATATTAAAAATAACATAATCATTGATAATAAAAATTGAAAAATAAAATTATTGATAATAATGTTAAGAAAATTTTAATTTCAAAAGTGTTGTCGAGTTACACAACGAGGACGAAGTTTATTACGTTTTGGATTTCGTTGATGCGGTTGTTCTTGAATTTCAGGAGAAATGTGTGGAGGGTTTTCTTCTTCATAAACCTCTATTATTTTCACTCTATAAAAATCTTTCTACCTTTATTATTTTTCTTTAATATCATGTTCTATAATTTTTATTTTGCTACTAATAACTTATTTTTAATTTTACTTTTAATATTTTATATATTAAATTTATCAATTTTTTTCTAAAATTATAACTTAAATAATTCATATAATAAAAAATATAAATTTTAAATTTCCTATTCAAAAATAAAAAATATAATAAAAAATTATTATTTAATATTTGTAATAATTATTTAAATATATTTAAATAATTTAATATATATTTAAATAATATATTATTTTTATTATTTTTTATATAAATATTATTTAAATTTTAAAATTAAAATTTTATTTTTAATATTAATTTTATTAATTTTAATTATATATTTTATTTAATTTTTTATTTAAAAAAAGTGGTAAGTTTAAAGTTGGAATTTGGTTTACGAGAAACTAAATTTCAAGTACAACAATAAAAGAGGTTCAACTAAACAAATAAGTTCATGAGATATTCGGTTAAATAAATAATTTGATTAGAGGTTCTGATACATATATAATATAATAATATTATTTCAGTAAAAAAGGTCCAATTCTGGTGGTTACGTTTGAATTAGTACAATAATTAGAAGAAATGAATTATATTGGAGTCGAATAAATAAGTATTCTATGATTAGGATATTTTGAAATAGCATCATTTCAGTTAGAAAAAGGACATAATGGGATTTGTGATAATTTTTTAATTCCTATATTATCTTTACTTTATAAACATTTCATATTCATAATTTAAAAAAAAACGACTTTTCAAAGAAACAACGTTTTTGAAGAAAAATGGTTTACAGCCAAGAAAATAACAATTTTGTAAGAAAACACTTAATTTTTAATTTATTATAATTAAAATCATTTGTGAAATCCAAGAGAGTTATAATGTAAATCTTTATTATCTTTAGCATTTAGGATATAAAATATATTGAAAATCGATCAATTGACCAACCAATATATCTCAAATTAACAAACTAAGTCAATAACATAATGGTTACAAAAGTGGGATGGAAGGAAATATTGCGCTGATCAGACTTTTAAAAGATGTTTACATATTAAAATAAAAATAAAATAGATTATATTTTTTTTTGTGATAGGTTATTAAAATATATAAATATCCTACTATATTAAACTTAAACTATACATTATAATGAAATATTTCTACATCTAGATCAACTTATCCAATAATGAATATAAAGACTTAGAGGATATTAATGTAATTAAAAATATTTATTTAAAAAATATATAAAACATTTTTACATACTAAAAATTATTGAGACCCACATATATATGCTTTCTGATGGGACAAGCCCAGGTTGGCTCAAGGCCTATCCTGACCCATTTTTCATGGACAAAAATGAGATGGGTCAAAACAAACCAATTTTGGCACCCCAATGGTATTGCTTAAGTCAATACTAAAAATCGCCCACCTTCAGAGCATTTAACTAATATGCAAATTAGCTATTATATGTGTATCAAAGATGAACACGGAAGATTGTTAAGCGTTCAATGGTTGCATATGGATGAACATATGCTGGAAGACATAACAAGTTTCATTCTCCTTCATAACCGTCGAATAAAAACAATTTAAGTACTATATTGGACAAAAGCAAATAATATGAAGAATATATAAGATCCCTACACAAAACTGAAAATTCGAAAATCAACAGAAAAGTAACACAAGTTTGTAACATAAAACTGAACAAAACAAGGCCTAATAACATAGAATTTTCTTTTTAAGCACGGGCAGGAGCTCCTACCCCAGCTGGTCGTGGGGCTTGACCAGGCTGACCAGGTCTTGGTGCATCATCCTTCAAAAATACAAATAAATTCATCAAACAAGTCAACAAGAGCAAGTATAATTCATGATTGAGAATAAAGATAACTTAACATCCAGATAAACGAACAAGTCAACAAGAGCAATTATGATCAACCACTGCTAAGAACTTAATATCCAGATAATCAATGTTAATTGAAATAAATATAGCACATTTTCCTGATGTTAAAAGATCTCCCATTGTACATTCAAAAGAGACAATAACTAGAATAAAAAAGAAAATAAATAATTTTTTCTATAACCATTAACTAAATCATTAATATATAAATTTCCCACCAACAATAGAAAATCTGACACGGTTCTGAATTATACAACTTAAAGGTAATGGTGGTGGAAAGAGACACAAGTCTGATATATTGAATCAAATATCATATTGTTTCCAGTATTGTCAAACTCTCCATTCACAACATCAAGCACAAACCACCAATTTAGCCTTAAAAATATTACCTCAAATTATTCAAGTAATCCTGAAGAATTGAATATCCAGGTAATGTATCTTAGTATACCAAAGAGTTTCTAAAATTGGGGGTCGAACAAAATGAAATTATTCAAGTAATCCTGAAGTATTGAATATCAATATTTTAAGTCTTTTAAGGTATCCTAGTGTAGTAACGAATTATTCAATTTTCCGTCTAACATGATGAAATAATTCATATAATCCTGGAGTATTGAATATATCCAAGATTTTAGTCTATGTTGATGCATACTGGTGTACCAAATTTAAAGAGTTTAAAATTTTGAGAAATACTTAGCATGGTTTCTAATAACTCTACTTCAATAATGTTTTTAAATTGTAAACCTAATTAGGAGAGAGGCCATTAGTTCAAGAATAAAATTTACTCCAACATCAGGGAATGAGAGGGATTTGGTAAGACCCAACACCATCAAGAAACGAAAGGAAAACTAACGTTTTAATATAAAAGAAGTTGCAAGTATATCAACATGATTGTACAATGGGAACTCACCTAGGATTCAATCTGTACATACACACACACAAAAAAAAAAACTCTTTTAAATTCTCTAGTGTGGTTCAGGATCCTTCTTTAAATATTCAAGCAATGAAACAATTGGTGAGTGTCTGTACACAAAACATGTGCTATCTAAACTATCCTAACATCAGCAACACGCGATGGAAAACAAGGCCAAATTACACCGAACACAGCAGAATGAAATGGGAAAAGGGTCATCAAAATATTTACCCTGCGCCTGATGAAACGTTGAGGAGGGTCACGCTTTCTCCTGTCAGTGCGGGATCGAACCCTAACAACATGAGAGTGGATGGCACAGGAAACACAATACTGCATCTTCACATACAGTTTGGGAAGAGTGTATTCTACACATAACAATTAAAAAACAAATAAATAACTAGTGTGTCATTTTTTCATGAAAAAAAGAGAAGGTAAAGAAGATTAGTATTACGTTCATAGACGCAAGCCTCCTGCACATCTCTGACTGCCGCCTGTTCAACAATGTTCCTCACCAGAAATCTCTTGATTGCCTTGTCCTGTTTCGTTTATTCAAAACACACACAATCTTCATTGAAATTCCGCATAGAAATTGAAAAGGGAGAGAGTGAAATCAAAACCTTAGGGCAGCATTTGCCGCAGTTGGAGCATCGAATGAATTTGACGTGGCCACGGCCGTGCTTGTTGCGACCTCCATTCCTGCGCTTGAATGTC